ATGTATGTCCTCTTTCGGTAGGCTAATGCATGATATTTTGTATTTCTCTTCAAGAATCATCCTTTTAAATTAACATTTTCCTGCTGCCTTAAAAACAGGGAGATTTGGTGCAACTTTGGTCAGCTGGTTGGAGTGAAATTTTCAGTTCAAGACAAGTCTGCGCACACATGTGCACGTATTTACATGTATGTAACAGTTTTATTACCAAATAAATGTTCTGTAGGGTCTGCAATCTATCCCAACATTTCTGATGTAGCTATTTTTAGGTTAATAATGGTATAATATAGATTTTCTTATGAAATTTCTTGCGTGTCCATGAGAGTCTGAAAGCATGAGTGTCACATCAGACCCTGTTGGTGTCGTCAGCCCATAATAACTGAGTGATGTCACGCTGTACACCTGAAGGCCTGTCTGAAGGCCTGTTTTGACTCACAATTATTCCTGAAGGTTAATTGATCTACTTAGCAGTTGCATGATATTTTTTGTCTGTCTCTCCCAAAAGTACGCATACCACAGATACAGTACCAACAATATTCGGATGAATCACAGCTCACAATAAATAAAACATGTAAAATAATGATACATTTAAATTATTTTCGAAATAACACTGTAGTGTAAAAGCACTCACCAAACAGAGCCTGATGCTCAGAGAAGGTGACCACCAAGAAAGAGAATCTCTGCTGCATTCCCCCCCCCCCCCCCAGCATGGTAGGGGGCCTTTGGCATTCTCCTCTCTCTCTCTATTGCAACATGTTCCGAGTGATAAGTTACATAACGCTGGAACTTCAATGTCCTGGTTCAGTATCTGTACTTTCACAATTATTGTGCCACTGAATATATTTTCAATGACGAGTTGCAGGAGCTATAGAGGTGCAATTCTAATGCTAAGGCCACACTGACTTTTCCAGAAAAATCTATAGTTTCTCTGATATTGCTGCTTAGACGCCATGTACAGCAAACTAAAATGTTCCATCTCAGGGTCAGTCCGGAAAGAATTTCTTCAGTGCCTCGTATTTGTTCTAAAAATGCATATTTTGCAGAGCCTACAGACCACGAGCGACTCCTGGAGACCATCTACCCCGTTGTTTCTATATTTGTTGCTGTTACTCATCCCCTTGTGAAAAAGGGGTGTGCAAATCATATGACCATTTGGCTACTATGGAAAATGTTTGAAAACAGTCATTAACAACTTATACTGTTGCAACACTAGTATGTTTCACGAAACATGGGAAAAACAGTCATTTAATAAAAATAAAAACATTCAGCTTGGAAACTGAATGGTAAGTTGAGGAAACAGGATGTAGAATGTAGAACCTTTTAAGATTCTACGTTTCCTAGTATGGAGATGAGTGGCAGAATAATATTTGTTGGCATAATTATCACTCCGTAGGTGTTCTGGTTATATAAAGATCTTTTCCTTGAGCTCTTTTTCTTTCTTAAGAAGGAATAAAACATTTTGTAAATAGTATGCATTATGACGCGATCCAGCCCATTTCGCCTTGATTAGTGATTTTCGGCATGCAATATAGCAGCAGCATTTCAAAAATAAATGTAATGACTTAAAAACGTAAATGTATTTGATTCTCGTATTTGATATGCAGCCAGTGGTGTAGTTTGTTAGCTCTGTCGCCTCACACTTCTGGGAGTTGGGTTCAAGTCTCCAGTGGGATTCCATGTGTGTGCAGTTTGCATGCTCTCCCCCGGTCATCCTGAGGTTTCCCCCCTACAGTCCTGATTGGAGTGTGTGTGCGCCCTGTGGTGGCTTGGTGCCCCACCCTGGGTTGCTCCCTATCTCGCACCCATAGGCTCCAAATTTCAATTGGCCATTGGTTTCAGAAAATGGATGGATATACAGCCAGCTAAGTGATGTAATATAGTGTTTTGCGGTTTAATTGGTGACCAGACAAATTATTTCGGTTACTAAATTCCAGTACAGTGGAAAGAACTTCTTGTCAGTCATCCTGGTAGATCATAACAGAAATATTTATGGCTCTTAATCAATAATAATAATAATAATAATAAGTATTATTATTCATTATAATTTATGATGATTATTATTTTTATTGTTATTATTGTTGTGGGGTTTTGAGGGCATTAATGATACTTAATATGCCAGGCAGACGGTACTATGGTCTTGCTCCGTGGTATTCAGACGTGGATAAAGTGCTGTTGTGGAGCATGCGCCCCCTACAGGACCGTGTTGGCAGGGGCGGCTCGTCTCACTCGGCCCGTACGCGCTCACCAACTGGGGCAGCCTGATCACATGCTGTGACTGTGAGCTGTGCGGTGCATCTGCTGCGGAGGGCAGCCTGATCACATGCTGTGACTGTGAGCTGTGCGGTGCATCTGCTGCGGAGGGCAGCCTGCACGTACCGCCCATGCTGCAGCTGCCCTCCACTGTAAGGCTGCTGCACCCAGCTAGGATACTGAATGCATGCTGATGGAAAGCTTATACAATGATGAGGCCTCAAGAGTGAAATATTAACCAACTCCTCATTAAAATATTAGAAAATATAATTAGAAATTGTTGAAAAGGGTTATGAAATACTATTTGTTATTGCAACATTAATGGCAGTGCGGCTGATGCACCCCGATAATTAGGGACACTCCGGAATTTGCACTGATCCATGAAATGAGAAAATCTATACTAGGCCTACACTGTACACAAGCGTTTTTGCTTCAACTGCCCTCAGAGCAGTACTTAATTCATTTCCAACTTTAACACCCCTGCAAAAAGGATTTTTTTTATTCAAAGTGAACATTAGCCTATTCTCATTTAATCTTTACCGTGTTTATAGGAAATGGAGTCTAATTGTGAACACAGAAACTGAAAGGGAACTGATTATTTCCCTTTCATGTTATGTCTACCTTCTGCATGTTGCTGAAAACAAAATTCTAAGAACATTTAACACATTTAACCTTTTCTTAAATGAGTCTTTCATGGAATGTGTTGTGTTAACATAGCCGAACGCTTCTTTCAACCCATTATTTTTTTAGTCGGCTTTACACTTGTTTACTCTATGTGTGTGTGTGTGTGTGTGTGTGGGGATTAGGTTTATATTACATTGTGGGGACCAAATGTCCCTCACAATGTGATAAAAACCTGTTCGTTGGACATTGTGGGGACCATTTTTCAGGGCCCCACAAAGATCTCTGAATGCAATCAAAAAAGTAAAAATGCCAAAAGTCTCGTATTTAGTTTGGTTACTTATGGTTAAGGTTAGGGCTGGGTAGGGGTTAAGGTCATCATGTTGGGATTAGAGGTTTCCCCATAGAAATGAGAGTCCCCACAAAGATATAATCACAAACGTGTGTGTGTGTGTGTCTGTGTGTGTTGGCACACTCCCTGATGTAATTTGGGCTCACTGATTAAATGGAGCAGTCTAATATCTCCAGCCAAGGTGTGCATCAGAATAAAGTGCAGTAACCATTAGATTTTTTTAATTTATGAGCTTACCCTTAAAACACCTTGTTCAAAATTGTATTATGGAACATCAAAGTCCTTGAAAATACTGGTGTATTTTGCAAAGATCTTGTTACATAATGTATTTATTTCTGAATTCAAGTAAATGTGGAAAAACATATTGCAGATGTGGAATAACAAATTTAGCTATACATTTCCTGTAGCTGTCCATCCATGAAGCAGAAGATCACACAGCTGGGTACATCCTGCAGCAGGCGACAGTCAATCTCGGGAACAAACAATGACTATGATCATCAGCTTGATTAGTGTCAACTGACCTTCATCATCAATTACAGGAATGAACTGAACTAAAGTCAAAGCATGCAAACAGGTGATGGACTGTTATCTCTAAACCTCTGCAACCTGCCAGATCTCCACGATATCTACAGCAGTAGATGCATCAATTACCCTTAAGAAGGCCAGGTCCATCCTGGAGGAGCCCAGCCATCCCAAATGGCACCAGAGCGTAGGAACCCACCAAACAGGCTCCACAGCATCTTCTGTCTGCAAGTAAGGCTATTCAACAGTTGATCAGATCATTTGGATGGTCAATTTGCACATTTCCATTTTATTGATCACCGTTGTGCTTGTTATTATTAGTTATTTATTTTTCTGATTTACTATTTCTATTTACTATTTTGCCGTTTGTACTTTATTTCTCTTATATATTACTTATTATAGTGGGCTCACGGATTAACTCATTTTATTCCATACATTTACCGTTGTTTGCTGTACTGTTGTGCTTTTGATAAATAAACATTGATTTCATTTTTAAACTGCATAATATAAAAATACCAAAGCCAATATCTATCATCTGATACACATACATTTTATTGCTATATATTTCATGAGTCCAAATCGTTTTAGAGGAAGTTTATGGTTGGTGTGTATTTTGTGAGGGACAAACCGTTGGATCTTGTGTCCTTTTTCATACTTCGCAGGACAAAGCTTCTCATTTCATTTGTGTTCAGCTACTGCCCACTACACCCCTTTAGGTCAGACAGCACGCTTTAGCTGACTGAATTTCTCTATATATGCGTGTGAACATGTCGGTAACAGGAAATCTCCGTAAGCTTTTACAGCGCACGGGTTATTACGTTCTCATTGCGTTATGTAGTCAAGTGCTTTAATTGATACTATGTTAATTTAAAAATATTAACGTACGTTCCTGCTGTCCTTTTCGGAATATGTGCGATTGAAATTCCGGGAAGAATTACAGATTGCACCAAAACATCATTATTTAAGGGAGGGTCGGGGATTCCCTCTTAACGTCACCTACCTACGCTTCGTAGGTACTTAACTATACCCGTGTTTCTGTAATTTGCCATCCTTTGTAAATACAATTAAATATGGCATGGTTCATTTTTAAAACATTCTACTGCTGCGCTTATTTACAATTACGTTATGATTTAGCCGGCAGCATCGAGTTTTTTAATGATCAATGAAGGCATGAGTCGTCATAGCCGGGGTGCGCGCTCCACCAGCTTCTCGGTGCGCGTGCTTGTAGATATAAAGCTACTAGACGAGACGCGACATCGTGACTGTAAAAGCAATTCCCGGCTGAGGCGTCTCTGACTGAAGCGCAGACAGTTATCCTGGCCGCATAAAATACGCGTTTAATGGTGTATTTAGATGACTTTATATATCCGGATTTTTAACACAGCTCGCAGGCGTTTGACTGCTGATTTTCGGTTGCATTGTTGTGCTGGCTCTAGAAATCGTACATCTATGGCCGAGGTCGGAGGCGCCGTGCCTGGGAATGCCGTGCCCGCGCATGCTAACGCCGCTGCAGAGATCCGTTTGTCCACGGAGGGGAAGCGATAATCCGAGTGTTTGTTGATACGGCACGGAGGCGAGAGGACAGTAAGGTACATCCGAGTTTCGGGACTGGCAACAGTAGCTCGTCCAACATTTATCCACGTCGGCATGAAATAAAAACGGAGAGGAGCGTGTTTTTTCAGCAAGCGAGCTCCGTGACAGGCCAGAGACCGATGGGATTGCTCTCTAACAGCGCACCTAGATGGGGAGACGGGAAGGGTGGACGGGAGTCGGCGCTGTGAATTATTAAAGACCCACCTCCGGCTAGAAGAAGGAGAAAATGCATCTCCACCAGGTGCTGACCGGCGCGGTAAATCCCGGGGACAGCTGTTACTCGGTGGGAAGCGTCAGCGACATCCCGTTTACGGTAAGTGTTGTTTTTACCGTGCTGGGGGGGAAGGGTGATCGCTGAGAATCGCGACACGACACGACCCGACCCGGCATCTGTCAGGCATCGGTTTGGCAAAGGTGTCCCCCACCCCTCCGCACATTCAGCCCCAGCGTCACTCGGGCTCCTGTATAACTGAGATCTGCTGTTTCTGTTTGCCTTGCGGATGCTCAAGGTTATCGCAGCTCGGCTTGGGTCTGCTGGGATATTTGGTGTGGCTGGTGTGCGGATACTTAGTTGCATTAGCAATTCTGGGGCGAAGATCGGGTTCAGCAAATGACCTTTAATCAGCCGCCTGGTATAGTGGCGATACCGGGGCGACGCGTTATGTTGAAGGGCCATGCACTGAGGTGAGAGATTGGGGGGGGGGCGCGGATGTCAGGTCCCCTGATCCAGTCCGATCCGATTCAACCCAGTCCCGTCATGAGAAGCACGGGTTTTTTTGCTTGGTTGCCCTCCTCCCCATCGCCGGAGTGGGTGGTCATCTCGCCTCATGTGTTTGCCTGCATGAATATGATTCATGGCTTTGGGGGGGGGGGGGGCATGTCATGTCATTCTTAAAATACCCGAATCCACAGACGTCAGATGTGTTGGTGTCAGAGCAACATGTATCGTCCTTTTCTATAATGTATCCTTCAGTCTTCATGGATTATACAGATTTTTAAATAACTTATTATTCGTTTACATGTCTTAATGCATTGTACATGTTGTGTACATGTCTTAATGTGAATTGTGCCCAGTAGTATATTCACAGTTGTGGATTATTGAGTAGTGTGCAGTACAGTAGGCTGATGGTTTGCTTTATCGTTATTAAAAATCAGTGTCAGCAATTAGTGTCACATCTTTATTTACATTATGAAATGCATTTCTAGGCATTATCAGTTTTAAATGTGATGTCTGATTTGTTTCATTATGAAGCTTTTGAAATGTGCTTGTCATGCGGTGAGCTGGAATTTTTTTAAAATGTTTATGAGGGAGAAGTGAAAGTCTGAGAAACTGTCCTGAGAGCGCCGGGTTTTGCTGTGTCAGAGGATGTGGAGAGAATTGCAAATTCACCGCTTGAATTCCGGGATGCCAGCTCCGCTGGGACGGGCTTTACGTGTGTCGATGAGCTTGAATGGTTTGTCCTGTGCGGGGGCTGTTATGGGATTGGACAGAGTGCTTTCCTCATTAATTAAGACAGGGTGTTAGGTGACCGCCGCCTTCGCCACCTTGTCATTATCCCTGCTGCTGGTGACTCGTGCGATGGCAGTATCCAGCTTTGTGGGAGCTGGGCAGGGGCCGCGTCGGTGGGGTTCATGAGACATTCCAGACGTGGCATTCAGTAGGTTTAACGACCGAAGCTCTGCCATCCATTTTAGCGAGGTGTCGCTGCATCCAGTCGCAGTGCCGAAAGCCTTTCAAAGGTTAAGGTGAGCTTTCCTCTGCTGTCCCTGGAAACGTTTCTCTGGATCTTGCTCCTAGCGGCCTTCTGTTTAATGTGTGACTGTCCAGCTGGTCCTCGTATTCGGACATAGGAACGGCTCCGTTGAGCAGTCAGGGCCTTTTCCCCAGGACGCTGTGAGAAACCTGGCAGATCTGGACAGTGCTGGTGTTAAAGGTCAGGCCTGAGATGCGGAACTTAAGTTGGGACACAAAAAAGCTTTGTGTTACATTATTTATGGAATTGAGGCAGGAAATGTCCAAAGCGAGGAATGTCTATTCTGTGCAACTGACAATATGATAGGTTTAGCAGAAAGTAAAGTGTTGGTCTCTGAAGTTAGACAAGCCCTGACACATTTTTCCCTGAATTTTTGTGTGGTTTAAGCACGTGCTCGTTGTGGGAGGGAACCTGAATGCACATTAGCTGTGGGAAATCTGCAGCTGATTCCACATGCAAATATGAGTTGAGTGTAGTAGCTTATTTTTTTAAGGAGGGAGTCCATCTGGCATTGATGCCCAGAGTTTATACAGAAATAAGCACACCGTCGCCCAGGTTAGCAGCAAGAGAAGAGGCCAATGCTGAACTGTTTTGTCCGCGTTAGAAAGTAAAATGAGACCTGTGCCTTTAAGAGTGAGGAAGAAACAGGTCGGTCACTGATAGCCAAATTGTTTTTGTTTTTTTTTGTCTGCTTCCCCATTCCTTAGTGACACGCACCAATGGAGTGAAAGATTTATGAGCTTATGAGCACGAAAAAGATGGCGGGGATGAGATGAGTGCGAGCCCCGCCCACGAGAGAGGTCATTCAGAGGTATTCTGGACGGCCGTCCTGTGTGTGACGGTGACCGGGCTTAATTCCCGCGATAATGTGCGGCGGTGATGACGAGATCCGCAGAGGCTCTCCCCGTCTCTGCCTCCGCACCCCTCCCCACCCGGCGGTGCCAGAGAGGGACTCCGGTTGGGGAGGGGGAGGCTGACCCATGTGACTAGCACACGGCATGAAGTGCCGGATGGCTGCCGTGGCGGACGCTGTCGCTGGTCCCGGCCGGCTAGCCCACTTGTCGCGCAGTTTGCTGAGTGTACGCAGTGCTTCCCCGCTTCTCGTATTTCCATGAATTAATCACGCCGCAGGCTCCTGTGCTCACGACGTCCTGCGGATTGGGTGACGGCAGGACGCTGCATCGTGCGCCGTCTTGGCTCGTTAGCAGTGGATGGGGGGGGGGGGGGGGGGGGTGTGCAGAGGCCTCGTTCCTCCTCCCAGGATGCTTCTCATGTTTCTTCCTCAGCTTCCTCACCTTTTGGTTTGAGCCGGACGCTCGCATCGCGGTTGGTGCTGTAAAGAGGCTCACTGCCATCCCCGGCATGTGGGACAAGCTGTCACCCCCAGCCCCATGCCCCCCTGTCCCTCCCCCCCACCCCCGTGCCGGACATCACGGATGTATATCGATCCGAGGCTCGTCTAGACACTGACACGGGCCCGCAGGATACGCAAGGGCAGAGTGACGGAGCACAACACGGAAATCCTGCCCCCACGGGTCTTCCGGCACGTGGCCGGTGGGAGGGAGCCTTGGCAGTGGGCGGGGCCTTGTTGTGTCGTCATCATCATCATCATCATCATCGTGTTAAAAGGACTAGTAAAAACATGCCTTTATGTGCCCTATTCATTTATTTTTATGTATTGTTTTTTTTGTTAATATTCCCCTTTCACTGTTTGCCGCAGGCCTATGGCTCCGGCTGTGACATCGTCATATTGGCCAGCGACTTCGAGTGTGTACAGATCATCCCCGGAGCTCAGCATGGGAATATCCAAGTGGGCTGTGTGGAGTGTTCTCACCATCTGGGCAGAGTGAGTGCCTTCCCAGCAGATCTCAGCCTGCATTCCCGCCTCGCCCATGACCCCCCCCCTGACCCGCGCCCTCTCTTCCAGATCGCCGCGTCCTACGGAAACACCGTGTGCATCTTTGAGCCTCTGTCCACGGCCCTGAATAAAAGGCACAGAGTGAGTGCAGCCTTGTGTCCTTCCTGGGGCCTCGAGCCTCGTTCTGGACTGACGTTGTGCTGTCAGCGTGGTTAATTACTGACGATTATTGACGCCTTTTCAGATTCCTCAGCAGCCCATTGGTCGCTGGCTGTCTGAGTGACGGGGACAACGTGCTGTCACAACAAATGAAAATATTTATTTTTGGGGGTGGGGGGAAAACAGCAGCTTGAGGTGAAATCACGAGACGGCAGCTGATTGTTAGGCGCTGGGGCAAAGTTCAGCCTTAAGGAAAGATAAGTCAAAGTGATGCCCTGTGGTTATGATAAAAAGGACTTTTTTTTATAAGAATTGAAATGTATATGTCACCATAAGCCTCTTTTAGATAAGCAGTTAGGATAGATGGATGGATGGATGGATGGATGAATGACTGGGTGGATGGAAAGGAATCAGTCATGTTTCCTAGCTAATTGCTACCTGATTTTCACAATTGCAACACCTGTGCAGGCAGGAAGTCTGCTATCACGATGTTGCCTGTCGATTTGAACAGTGCCCCCCATTTCTTTCTTAACAGCAACTAAACTATCAGTGGCAAAAGACGGGACAGTTTTTCCTAAATGCCATGACCTACAACTTGGCGTGGGATCCACAAGGTAATGGATCTCATTCCCAATCTTTGCTGGGCTGCATGTTCTTTTAATTGCGTAAAATGGCAGGACTACAAATAATTCCATACACCAAGCGGCGGAGGCCGTTTGAGTTTGGGTAAATGGAGGAGCTGATTCTGACAAAGACCCGCATTAGATGTTACTCATCACCCACAGCCCTCATCTTTAATGGCATTCTGTGTTTAATGCACAAACCTGTCCCCCCCCTTAGGTAACCGGATCCTTGCTGCGACAGAATGCCTGCAGCTGTGGGCCCCACCCACCAGCGACACCCTCCTAGAGGAGGAGGATGGCCAGGTGGCGGAGGAGAAAATGCACCCGGTGCTTAATGACTGGAACTGCGTCTGGTACTGCAAGTGAGTGTCTTTGTTCTGGCCTTTATCGTGATAAATGCCAATGAAAATAACGCAGCAGACTGATGCTAAAGCCCCATAACGTACCTGGTTAGGAAAACTAGGGCCTGAAGGCATTAGGGCGGTAGCTCTGGCTTAGCAGGGCTCCAGCAACTGTTGCTCAGCTCCTGCTTATCAGGGGTTACTAGTTACTGGATAGGTGACCTGGATTTTCTGGTGACTAGTTCCCAGTTAGGTGACCTGTCTCTCCTTTTGACTAGTTCCCAGTTAGGTGACCTGTCTCTCCTGGTGACTAGTTCCCGGTTAGGCGACCTGTCTCTCCTGGTGACTATCGCCCGGTCAGGTGACCTGTCTCTCCTGGTGACTATCGCCCGGTCAGGTGACCTGTCTCTCCTGGTGACTAGTTCCCGGTCAGGTGACCTGTCTCTCCTGGTGACTATCGCCCGGTCAGGTGACCTGTTTCTCCTGGTTCACTCGCTGCTGATTAGGTGACCTAGATCTCCTTCTCCTTACACTGTCTTCAACACAGAGCTCCTGTCCAACCTTAAAGTACACTCTGTGTTTCTCACTGACTGAAACGTCAATATTCCTGTCATCTGGAGAAGATCATTAACCTCACTGCAATCCTGTCTTTTCTTCTTCTTCCTTCCCACTCGCTCTCTCAAACCCAAGGACGGCCGTGCCCGTGAACATAATGAAGTGGTCGCCTGATGGAGAGTACTTCGCTACAGCTGGGAAGGTACAGAGTCACCGCCACCATTAACGGGAATGGGAAAAGCAGAGGTTCACCACAAGCCTTTATTCAGCGCATTTTCCGCCCTGACCTTCACATGTAATGGAATGTAATATATGATAAGAAACTCCATCAGTACATCATAAGACGAAGGTGTTTACAGAGAGGGGTTATATTTGCAATTTTTAGATTAATGGTATATTTGCTGTGCGTGAAACCTGATTGATTTGAAGCATGGTTATAAATCATTTTACAGGGAAATGTCGCCTTCCAGTTTAGACTTTTAGTATATAAATGGTTTTGCGTGTTCTGCGATGTGTCCTTGAGCTGGGGATATCGATGTGTTTGCCTGGCTTTGCACTGCGCCGCATAACCGCATCTTTCTCGTGCAGGACGACTGCCTGTTGAAGGTGTGGTATCCCACTACGGCCTGGAGGTCCGCTGTGGTGGTCCCGGACCTGCCCGACAGGAAGATGGCTGCTGTCCACTTCTCTTTTGTGTACCTGGCTCACCCTCGCGCCGTCGCTGGCTTGTCTTGGAGGAAGACGAGCAAGTACATGGCCAAGTAAGCCCCCCCACCTTCCTAAATATCCGTATGCCGTGTAGACTCCGCCCAGCGCAGCGCAGACTGATGGGAAATTAGGCGTGACAGGGAAGCTGTTAATGGTAGAGTATAGGAATGTTTGGGTCATGAAAGGCTCACAGAAGCACTTTTCTTGACAGTGTCAGGGTGCACAAAACAAGTGTTGTTACTGAGATGTGGAAAATACAGATTCTTTGTTATGTAATTTATATTCTAGCAGAAATGCCTCATGGGATTATGGGAAATCTGCCAGCTGTCAAATTAGAGTACAAGTAATATGGGTGTATTTGGTGCTGTGAGGACTTAGCTTGTCCTGCCGAACAAGGCCGGTGCCTCCCATTTCTGTGCTGCGCCACACAGGGGCTCGGTCTGCAACGTGCTGCTGACCTCGTGTCAGGACGGCATCTGCCGCTTGTGGTCGGAGACGCTGCTTCCGGAGGACAGCCTGCTGGGGGGGCACATCTCGGAGAACGCCACCAGCTTCAGCAGCAGCCTGCCCAATGCCGGGGGTCAGAAGGATAAGATCCAGCACGCTCTGGAGGTCGGCGGCGCCGCTGACCATGTCTCTCACCGATGATCCGCTTCTGACGCCCTTTGGTTCGGTTCGGTTCTGTTCAGTTCTAATAGGCTTTTTTGCGCTGTGACAGTCCATCCACCACCTGAAACACCTGCGCCGAGGCCGCAGAAGATCCTCTGCCTTAGTGGCCCACACAGAGCTCCTGCCCAGCCAGCTAGGGTCGCACGAAGTCCACCGGCACATCTCTCACCATGCCAACGCTCTCTGCCACTTCCACATCTCCGCAAGCATCAATCCCAACACTGGTAACCAAAATGGGCTGTTTGTGTTTGGGGTGGTCCAGTAACATCATCACATGTGCCACTTATTGTGGGGGCTGTTTCATGGGTTAATGAGAGTCTTGGCCTAGTTTTGAACTGTAACCATCTCTTTATTTGATGTTCCCTAATCGACACGCCACCTAATTGTATGTCTGCTGAGCGTATGTTCTTCTCGTCTTCAGACGTTCCATCAGTGTTGGCTGGGTCGGCCTTCTCTGCTGACGAAGCCAATGGTGGCTTTGTGGTCCATTGGCTGAACAACAAGGACCTGAGCTTCACCACCTCCATGGACCTCTTCATGCAGCAGCTCCGGAAGGTGTCCGAGCATCACCTGGAACAGGGCGCCTCCGAAGACATGGAGCAGGACACCCCCCAGGCCAAGTTTGACTTTGGTATGGCCCATCCACACCACAGTGCGGTCTGCAGGGGTTTGTTCACAACCTGATGGTCAACACTCTGTTAACAAACTAATGATATTATAGGAGTGTATTTGAAAAATGCCTTATTTTATGTATCAAAATGTCTTTGATTCAGACCTCGATGAGATGTCTGACAAAGGTTCCTCTGAGCACGAGGAAGGGGAACCGGACGGGAGCACCAAGGCTTCCTCACCTGGGTCCAGCAGCAGCGCTCCATTACCTGCAGTGCTTCTGGACAGGAAGATGGAGGCTCTCAATCTGGAGTGGAACAAGAGCCCAGACATGCTTTTCACCATCCACCCCATTGATGGCTCCTTCCTGGTGTGGCATGTTAAGTACCTGGATGAGTACATCCCTGGGATTTTCAGGCAGGTCCAGGTATGATTTGTCGCTACACATCCAACTATATCTGTATACTGTGGTTTTTATTGGTGTAATGAGCACACCCAATTTGATGGTGGGGATTAGTGTTGTAGAAGTTGTCTTGTTTGAAGTTACTACTACCTGTTAACTATGAGTTGGACATCATCTCTTGTTCTGCCATCAGGTGTCCTTCTCGTCCCGCATTCCTGTGGCATTTCCCACCGGTGACGCCAACTCCCTCAGCAAGAACATCATGATGTATGCCTGCACCTTCTCGGAGCTGGAGAGCAATGGTGCACTGGACCAGGATAGGCAGGCCAAACGCATCCGCGGGGGTCCCTCTGCCACGGGCTGCTCCCCGGCCCCCATCATCGGCCCAGCCGTCATGATGGTGTCCAAGCACGTCGATGGCTCCCTCAATCAGTGGGCGGTCACCTTCGCTGAGAGGTCGGCCTTTGCCTCGGTCATGACCGTGTCACACAAGTTCCGCTACTGCGGGCACCGGTTCCACCTGAATGACCAGGCGTGCCACACGGTGCTGCCACTGCTGCTGACGTCTTCGCACCACAACGCCCTGCGCACACCCACCACAGACAGCTCCTGGGACTCTGAGAAAGATCTGGACGTCCTTCCGGCCATCAAGCCTGCGAAGGGTTTCTCCAGAAAGCAGCTGAAGAATGCGGCTACGCGCACCTTCCACGACCCTAACGCCATCTACAGCGAGCTGATCCTGTGGCGCGTGGACCACATCGGGCCGCTGTCCTGCACGGGCGGCGTGTCAGAGCTGGCCAGGATCAACTCGCTCCATACCTCCGCTTTCTCCAATGTGGCCTGGCTGCCCACGCTCATCCCCAGCACTGTCCTCGGTGAGCACGGCCTGTGTCCTGTTGTGGACCTGTGGATGATTGGGAAATAAATATATGGAGAGTGTGAATGTTGCAGGAGATAAGCCTCTCCCTCAGTCATAACTCTGTGGAGAGTATAAAGCAAGTTCATCCTATGTTAGGAAAGAGAGAGAAGGGGGGAGGGTGGTGGAGAGAGAGAGAGAGAGAGAGAGAGCAGGAGCTATGGCCCACTTCTTGTTTTTTGGTTTTGCTGATTTTAAGACTAAGCAGTTGTTGGCATGTTGCTGAGTTCACCTTTCTGACTCATGACAAAGGTGCCAATAAGCATTTCATAATCCAGTCCCCACATCCTGTGGATCTCTTTGCCATCAAAAGCCTCTTTGACTGTAAATACTTTTTGTTTTGCACCCATAAAACTGTCACTATCAGGCACCTACTGCAATTCAGCGAGTGCCTGCTTTGTGGCCTCCGACGGGACCAACCTAAGGCTCTACCAAGCCGTGGTGGACGCGCGCAAGCTGCTCGACGAGCTGTCGGATCCCGAGACCTCCGTAAGTCCGCCGGGCGAGCCCCTACCTCCTCCTGTCCCTATATGCTCAATCCTCCGAAAGAAAAACACCCACCCACCTGTCGTCCCCCCCCCCTCAGAAGCTCGTTGGCGAGGTGTTCAACATTGTCAGCCAGCAGTCCACCGCCCGGCCCGGCTGCATCATTGAGCTTGACGCCATCACCAATCAGGTGAGCAGCTCTGCCGGCGTCCGCGCTGGTGGGCGATCCCCCGTGGCCTCCTTCTGATGTCCTGCTCTCCTCCACCCCAGTGTGGGTCCAACACCCAGCTGCTGCACGTCTTCCAGGAGGATTTCATCCTGGGGTACAAGCCTCATGACGATGACACCCCTGACATGTTCCCATGCTTTCCATCGTCCAACGGTAGCAGCATAAAATTCTAATAGTTGAGAAAAAGAATCCATTTTGGCAAATCATTATTTCTGACGCCATGCTTTGTCCAAGACAGGATGCCTGCCCCCTCCTTTCTCAGAAAAGTTCTTCCTGGTGGTTATCGAGAAGGACGAAAACTGTGACTCGGTGCTACAGATGTGGCACCTGCATCTGAAGTCCGTTCAGGCCTGCGTAGGTGCGTGTCCTGCGAGCGTCTCTACTCATCCTGTGTGCTGCTGGTTGGAATATAAGGATGCATCTACACATCATGATGAATCAATTATTAAGGCTGCGATTTAGCTGCATCGATCTGTAATGTCAGAATCAATTATAGTGGATTCTTGGGGCCTAGATCCTCCTTAAAGGGACTCCAACTTTGGAGTTGTGCATTCTCGCATTCACTTACTGCAGGTAGACATGCAAAGTAGCAGTGCTGTCATGGAAATTTCCGGAACGTAAGATGGCACAGGATGGGTCATAATCAAATAAGAAACTCTACCTGATTATCTTTGTGCTTTTGGGAATGTAACCCTCTGAGGCAGCTAACTAGCTAGCAAAGTAGAAAGTAATGTTAGCCCTGGAGATGCACAATATATTGGTTAAAATATAACTATCGGCTGATTATTTGTTAAAAAATCAAGATTCAATGCGTCAGTCTTTGCAGGTATTACCGGCCGATATTTAAACTTCATTAGTATTCAAAGTTGGCCACACAAGAACTAAGGACACAACTCCTAAAATAACAGGGATGATTGCATTGGACGATCAGACATTTCCTGTAGTGGAGGATGAGGGATTTTGTTGGCTAATTCACCTCTTACAAGAGGTCTCAATGTACAGGCCTGTGACATAATAATAATTTATTATTAAATCAAATGGAATCAAATTATGGGAGAAATTAGGGATTTCTGATGCATTTAATTGCTCTTTAAATCAAATTGTTGGCCCCAAGGCCATTTGATTCACACCCCTAGTTGCAGGCACTGCCTGTGTCATGGTTTGCCCTCCATTTGAGGCATGAGGGTGGACGTGTGGGTTTTTGGCTGTTTATGACACAGTGGGGCAGCGTGGGTTGTGGATGATCTGTCCCGGGGGTCTGACATGGCCCCTCGCTTGCAAATCGCGGAGAATCCCAATGTCACTAAACTCCATTATCACTTTCATTGTTGGACTCTCAGGTGCCATTTGTGACAAATTACAAATGGGCTTCTCTCATAAATAACACGGGGAAAATGCCAGGCAGCCATGTGGTGCCTTGAGTTTTAAAGGATAGGATTAGTTTGTCTCTCAAGTCGTTGGAGCATTAGAGCATTGGAGCGTCATTCTACAAGAGTGTAATGTAGAATGTACCCTGAAATAAATCGTGCGAAGCCCCCGTGGTGAAACGGAAACATGAAACGACTTTCCTCTGAGGAAGTGGTTGTACTGGCAGCAGGACATGGAGGAGAGGAATCAGTGATGAATGGATAGTTTCCTGTTAGTGGAGATGTTTAAGAATAAATGATCCAAATGTAAAATGAGTTGAAGATGCTGGTGGTTAGATTGTACTAATGAAGATGGACAAACACAGACATATGCGTGTGTAAGGGGAGACGACCCATTTCTTTCAGAAAACACCAGGCCCCAGACATTCCAGAACCAGCTGATGGTCCCCCAGCAGCAGGGCGTCATGGACTCTTCCCCAGAGACGTCCCCTGGACAGAGTCCACTGCCCCGTTCCTCCTCTACTGCCAACCTGCAGTCTGCCAGCAAGCTGATCCTGGACTCCAGGCTGGTGTACAGCCAGAGGCTGGACCTGCCCACCGGGGTGGAGGTCATCCGTGCCACGCCCTCTGCAGGTCAGCTGACATCTGCGATATGGGCGACACCTTTACTAAATGATGCAAAAATTCACATACATTATGTGTCTTAAGTGGTGTCTTAATGAGTTGTTTTTGTTTATAGGGTTTATGTTTACATGTATTGTGCCCAGGAACCCTGAACTAATTAAATCTTGTACAAAGGCTTGCGGGAGTTTTACTTACACAATACTGTTCTGAGGGCCGAAGGAGGCAGGACCAAGACATCTGATTTGTCCCACTTTTTCTAGTTGCTTGCACCCACTTCTGACAATATGATTGGTGATCTCTCTAAACCAGTCATTTTTCCTTTTGCCCTCAGAACATTTTTGTCTAAGTTAAGCTGTACAGAGCTTTGTTTTTTTAAATTTGTGTTGATTAATTGGAGAGTCCGCTGTGAAATAAAGTAGGAAGTGCTCATGGCCCTGAAAGGTTGGTGTCGCAGGTGTACTCTCCTAAGATGCTTCTTTTTGGGTTTAAAGGGCACCTCAGCTCCTCGTCGATTTACCCGGTGTGTCTGGCTCCCTACCTGATTGTGACCGCCTGCTCAGACAGCCGCGTACGCTTCTGGCGCTGTGTCCCAGAGGCGAACCCAGCGGCAGGGGAGCCCGAGGCGAGCCGCATGTACCGCTGGGAGCCCTGGCTGCTCCTGAACGAGGAGGAGGACGACGACAGTGCCGTGTGCGTAACCGGCCGCCCCGTGGCGGTCAGCTGCTCGTACACAGGCCGCCTGGCGGTGGCCTTCAAGCAGCGAAGCGACAGCTGCGCACCCACAGAGTTCTCCATGCACGTGTCCATCTATGAGTGTGAGTCCACGGGCGGCTCCGAGTGGGTGTTGGAGCAGACCATCCACCTGGATGACTTCACCAGGGTAGGCAGCGTGCTGGGTCCCAAGGTCAGCGTGGACAGCAACCTGTTTGTGTACAGCAAGGCCGACCCGTACGCCTGCCGGGACATCCTTCAGAGCCCAAACATCAAGCACTTTGTCCACCTGGACTGGCTGTCAAAGGAAGACGGATCCCACATCCTTACGGTGGGCGTGGGCTCCAATATACTCATGTACGGTCGCATCTCGGGCATCGTCAATGAGCAGCCAAGCGGCAAGGACGGCATGGCCGTCATCACACTGCCTCTGGGTGGCAGCATCAAGCAGGGCGTCAGGTCCCGGTGGGTGCTGCTCCGCTCCGTGGACCTGGTGTCCTCCGTGGACGGCACGCCCTCGCTACCTGTCTCTCTATCCTGGGTGCGAGACGGCATCCTGGTTGTGGGCATGGACTGCGAGATGCATGTCTACGCCCAGTGGAGGCAAGACAAGAAGCCCAGTGACGCAGAGGAGGACAGCCCGTCGGACAGCATCTTTACCGGGCCCGAGGCCCGATCCAGGTCCAGGAGCGTCGTGGAGGGCAGCGCGGGCATTGACGATGCTTTCCGGACACCTGCCGTCATCCAGGACGGGGGTCTTTTTGAGGCCGCCCATGCACTGTCTCCTACGCTGCCCCAGTATCACCCCACCCAACTCCTGGAGCTGATGGACCTCGGGAAAGTGCGTCGCGCCAAGGCCATCTTGTCCCACCTCGTCAAGTGTATCGCAGGGGAGGTGGCGGTGGTGAGGGACGTGGAGGCGGGAGAGGGCGGGACCAGACGCCACCTGTCCCGCACCATCAGCGTCAGCGGCAGCACAGCCAAGGACATCATTCTAGCTGGCCGGGAGGGGGGGCGTGACTACACAGAGATCAGTTCCATTCCACCGCTGCCCCTGTACGCCCTGCTGTCCGCCGACTTGGACACCTCCTATAAGAGCGTCGAGGAGGCTGCCAAAGGTGCCAAGGGCTCAGACGGCGATGCCGAGAAAGCGCCCGGGGACCAGTACGCCGACCTGTTCCAGGTGCCGACCGTCACCACTGACGACTTTGTCAGTTTTGCGTCCGAGAAGAAGGAGAAGTCGCGAGTCATCAACCTGTCCCAGTATGGCCCAACCTACTTCGGGCCGGAACATGCCCAGGTACTGTCCAGCCACCTGATGCACTCCAGCCTGCCGGGCCTCACCCCTCTGGAGCAGATGTTCCTAGTGGGGCTGGCAGACACTGTGGCCACCACCAGCGCCGAAGTCAGCGGCACCTCGGACAAGCGGTATGCCGGTGAGTTTGGAGCCACGGGCTGTTGCTCTGCTTTGGTAGACAGTGAGAACTTAAACACTTTGGGTTCCCTAACTCCCTGGCCTCAAAGTGTTGGCAGGAGACCTGGAACCTGAACGAGACATTCCAGCTACTGAGGCAGCCAAGATGCCACATTACTGCTGAAACAGACCAAGGGTTTTATCGAGAAGGAGGACCTGTTCCTCCAGGCCTTTAGGTTGCCCTTGGTTTGAGAATTACAGGGCTAGCCTAGTCCCATTTCCAGCATGAACCATAACGTTAAATAAGGTTACCATGATTACATTGGCCCTAGAACATGGTGTCCTGTCTGCTGATGCAGGATTGTGATGTTCAGACATCCCAGCCTTCAGACGCTGCTATCTCGGTATAAACCCTGTGCTTGCTTTCCTGAATGAGGTGATTTGTAGCAGTGATTAGGTCTCTGCTCATTCTGAAGCCTGGTCCAATGCGACCGGAGATTGGGTGTGGGCCAGGTTATGGGTTCAGGAGTCACCCTGAGCCTCCCTTTCCATGCGTTTGACGCGCAGGGGGCGAGGCCCTGGATGAGTGCGGCCTGCGGTACCTGTTGGCCATGCGGCTGCACACCTGCCTGCTGACGTCTCTCCCACCTCTCTACAGGATGCAGCTTCTACACCAAGGTAGGATGCGGGCATCTCTGCCGGCATACAAGGAGAAGGACCCGAATGAATTACTCATGCATTGCTGTACTGTCCTCGATTTTCACAGTGAGCTGTGTACCTGAGCCCAGAGTTTGTCCTCAACTCCACACACCAATCATATCACTGTGCAGAAGATGGTGCTCGTGCTCCTATCTTCTGCGCAGTGATACAACTGGTGTGTGGAGTTCGGTAGAAGACAATAGTTCCTAAAGTAAACTGCTCACTACAAAGTCTATGGATTTTCTTGAGTAACTGGGTCATGATTTCTGGTAAGAGTCGTTGCTGTTGGATTTTTCAAGTATATTTTTCTGGTGCTTTTTCACCACAGAAAGAATGCCATTCACTCCTGTTATATTCAAGAGAAACCCAACGTTTCTACGGCCAATATCTCCAAAACTAGGCAACTCCCAGAAGAACAACCTAGATGGATAGATAGCACTAAAGCTCCCTTTTCAGTTTTGGGGTGAACTGTCCTTTTAAGTGTACATGATTTGGAAAAGGGTCCATCCTGCCTGAATCTGTGCATGTGTGTGTGTGTGTGTGTGGGTGGGTGTGTACGCAGGTCTGTCTACGTGCCACTTCGCCTGGGCTTTCCACTCCGAAGCGGAGGAGGAGCTCCTGAACATGATCCCTGCCATGCAGAGGGGCGACCCCCAGTGGTCAGAGCTGCGTGCTGTGGGTGTAGGCTGGTGGATTCGCAACATCAACACCCTGCGCAGGATGGTGGAGAAGGTCTGCAGCCCCCTTCTGCTGCACACCCTCACATAGCACACCTTTTCACTGCTTCCCCAGATTTCTCACCAATTACTCTGTAAAGCAAAATGCACACTTTGCTGTGGCCCACTTCCTCGTTATCGCACCGCAGGTGGGCAAGGCTGCATTCCAGCGGAACAACGATCCCTTGGATGCTGCTATATTTTACTTGGCTATGAAGAAGAAGGCCGTCTTGTGGGGCTTGTTCAGGTACGGACCTCAATTGCGTGGCTGGTAATTGAAAGTCAACCAGGTTGCTTAATTCTGTGCAGCCAGGTGAGGGTCACGCACCCGTGTCTTGCCCTCCAGGTCCCAGCATGATGAAAAGATGACCCAGTTCTTCAGCCACAACTTCACGGAGGATCGGTGGCGAAAGGCGGCCCTGAAGAACGCCTTCTCACTGCTTGGCAAACAGCGTTTCGAGCAGTCCGCCGCCTTCTTTCTGCTGGCCGGCTCACTGAAAGACGCCATTGAGGTGAGAAGGGCAAGCGTGCCAGGAAATCCTGTGACAGTGGGCTATCAGCAAGTCAGTACATCTCTCAGCCTTTGTCAGTTCAAATGTTTGTGAATTTTTGGATCAGTCAGCTTGTCATGTGGTCTACTGCTCGGTCACGTGACAATCATCAAGTGTTGGCCCTATCTCATATACCTGTTGTAAAGTTTACATCAAAAGGGCGGTTTTTGTCCTGAGGAGGAGTATGGATGGCAGTTTCCTGCACCCTGACATGCCTTACCAGGCTTGTTTGAAAGCCCCAAAATCTGGCCTCTCCTAGGTCTGCCTGGAGAAGATGGAGGACATCCAGCTGGCCATGGTCGTAGCCCGTCTGTATGAGTCTGACTTTGAGAGTTCCTCGACCTGCAAGGGCATTTTGTACGAGAGGGTCCTTGGCTGCCAGAGAGATGGTTCTGGGTTCTCCTCCACCAAGCTACACCCTGACCCGTTTCTGCGAAGCATAGCATTCTGGATCATGAAGGACTACACAAGAGCCCTGGACACCCTGCTGGAGCAGGTACCAAAGGAGGGAGACGAAAGCCAGGGTAAGCTGCACCTCAGCACCATGCAACGTAGGAGAACTAAATGCCATCCTTTCACCTTCCAACCACTTATCTAGTACAGGGAACTAGTGAGCCTGACGCTTATCCCAGAAAGCACTGAAACAGGGCAGGGGACACACTGACCAGGGTACCAGTCCGTCACAAGGGCACAAACCTACCCAATGGGCAGTTTAGTGATTCCACTATGCTCCACCGATCATGTTACATTTGCACCATTTCTTATAGCTCCTTGATTTTTTTTTGGCTTTCATTCCTACACTAACACTCAGAATTCACACCTCCTCTGCTCTCCCTCCTCTCAGACGTGTTGGTGAAGTCCTGCAACCCTGTGGTCTTCAGCTTCTATAACTACCTTCGCACGCATCCTCTGCTGATTCGGCGCCATTTCGCCTCCCCCGAAGGCACCGTGGCCACTGTGGGCTTGACCTCCGAGAAGAGCGCCGTGGATGAAATCAACCTCATTGAGCGGAAGCTGTTCTTCACCACAGCCAACGCCCATTTCAAAGTGGGCTGCCCTGTGCTGGCCCTCGAAGTGCTCTCGAAAATCCCCAAAGTGACTAAGAAGGCGGGGTCCTCCCTCAGTAAAGGAGCATCCATGGTGAACATGAGCTCTGCCCAGGCTAAAGAGAATGGCGGAAAATCCAGCGAGGTTGACTGGTCCACGCCTACTTCAGCAGCCCCCGGCTTAGACTGGGGGAGCGGTCTCGATACCTCGGCTAGCCTGGACTGGAGCCAGCCATCGGCTGTGGTCGAGGACGAGGGTCTGCTGTTGGATTGGGGGGACAACAAGGATGACGAGGATGAGGATGAGGATGGCCTAATGATGAAGCCAAAGGCTGAGGATGAGGATGGCCTAATGATGAAGCCAAAGGCTGAGGATGAGGATGGCCTAATGATGAAGCCAAAGGCCGAGAAGAGCGCCGATAAGCCCAAGGTGACACCGCCGATGAGGCCCCCCAGCCTTCAGCGGGACAACTCGGCCGGGGAGTCTGAGGTAGATGTAATCGCGGAGCAGCTAAAGTTCCGGGCGTGCTTGAAGATCCTGATGACAGAGCTGCGGACTCTGGCAACGGGCTACGAGGTGGACGGCGGCAAGCTGCGCTTCCAGCTCTACAGCTGGCTGGAGAAGGAGATTGGTGCCATGCACCGTATCTGCAACTATAAGGTTGAGGCGTCCAATGAGCAGGAGAAACTGCGGGAGGCCGAAGGGGCAGAGCCCGAGGAGGCGGCGGAGCGGACGGACACGGGCGCCTACGAGCGCCACCAGCTGGAGCGGCGCCGACTGCAGGCTAAGCAGCAGCACGCCGAGAGACGCAAGGCCTGGCTCCAGAAGAACCAGGCACTGCTCCGCATCTTCCTGAGCTACTGCAGTCTACACGGGGCCAAGGGCGGAGGAGTCACCTCCGTCAGGATGGAGCTTTTGTTCCTGCTGCAGGAGTCCCAGCAGGTCAGCACCACCCTAACAAGATCTTCAGTTTAGCTGTTTGCAGTGAGCTAGATGGTTTGCTGTTCTACTCAAGTTTGATATGTTCTAACCTCAAAGAACCTGATTTAGTTGTTTTGCTTAACGAAAGGGAGGACCCTGTCACTGGCTGAAATGGAGTGATTAATCATGATGAATTTTTGTTCTGCTCCTTTGCTTTGACATGCTTTGGCACTTGTCCCTTGCAAGCTTGCATCTCTCGACCCTCCCACTGCTGTTTGGTTTTGCCTTGGTTAGGAGACCACGGTAAAGCAGCTACAGTCGCCCCTGCCGTTGCCCACCACGCTGCCCCTGCTCTCCGCCAGCATCGCTCCCACCAAGACGGTCATCGCCAACCCCGTGCTGCACCTCTGCAACCACATCCACGACATCCTGTACACTGTGGCGCAGATGGACATGCCTCCACACCCCGACGTCTCCGACGACCGGGTTAGCCTCCCCCTTCTCCGGGGGGGTCGAGCCAGCCCTCCCGTCCTTCATGGTGGAGGCATCGCATGGGAAGCAGGAGAGACTGGGGATGGAGCGTGTTTGCCGGTCTTGCTAACTGTGGTGCTAACCGTTGCAGGTTAACGCGCTGCACACCCTGGCGGCCTCCCTATCTGCCTGCGTCTATCAGGCACTGTGTGACAGCCACAGTTACAGGTACTACCGAGTCTGCCAGTGGCGGTTACTGGGGCTAAGCCTGAAATGACACCGGGTTTGATGTCACAAAGGCTGATGGAGAGTCAGGCTCTGCTCGGGTTGCTGCATGACCGCATTGTGCTGAGAAGTCCAGTTAAAAATAGACTGCGGCTTCTAAGGATTGTGAAATTCCTACACTCGTGTTTTGTTCTCAAGCATTAATGGAAATTGGTGCTTCCTGCAGACCATAGTTGAGAGTATTGATTGGTTTTTCTTTATCCTGATGTTGTTTTGCCAGATTTTGTGCTTTTCCCTCAGAAATCGGAACACCAAGTGACCCTCTTTCGCTCAGCTAATTGTGTGTGTGCATGTGTGTGTGTCCTTTGCAGCAGCCAGACGGAGGCCAACCAGTTCACAGGGATGGTGTACCAGGGCCTGCTGCTGAGCGACAGGCGACGGCTTCGCACCGAGAGCATCGAGGAGCACGCCACACCCAACTCTCCCCCCGCCCAGTGGCCGGGTGCGTGGTGATCTGCCGCTGTAGGGGTTAAGGTCTCCTACAAGGAATGTGGGTGGTTAAAGTCCTGTGTTTTTGGTGATATTAGTATTATTATTATTTCATGTATTTTTTTTAATAGACCATTTTTTGTGCTAATTGTTATTTCTTGTATGCTTATTTTAATTCCTTTTAAATTTTTAAAAGATTTTTTTAAATAAAGATTGATTGACTGATTGGTCTCCGGCACGCCCTTGTGTTCTGATCTGGAAATATGATTTTTATATTGGTGGGAGTTTCTAAAGGCTAACTCGCGTGCTCATAATCATGCGGCCCTTCAACCCTACAGGTGTGTCCTCCCTCATCAACCTGCTGGCGTCAGCACAGGGTGAAGAGCAGCCGCGGCTGAACGTGATGCTCTGCGAGGCGGTGGTGGCCGTATACCTGAGCCTGCTTATTCACGGCCTGGGAACACACTCGGCCAACGAGCTCTTCCGCCTGGCCGCGCACCCACTCAACAACCGCATGTGGGCTGCAGTCTTTGGGGGCGGAGCCAAACTCATCATCAAGCCCAAGAGGCCCCCGGAACCCGCCCCAGGTACTGTGACTTCCCCGCCTCCTGCCGTGTGCCTCGTCAATGAGAGCGAGAAGGTCCGCGCATGGCTGCCACCAGCCGCTTCTTGAGACCTTAATGACGTTTGGGCCTGGTCTGCCTCCGACAGCTGTGTCTAAGGGGGCTGGTAGGGAAGGAGTACAGAATGTTCCGGGCCCTCACGAGCCCGAGCCCGAGCATGCCTCGCACGCCTCACCTCTCGATGTCCCCGACATCGCAGAGGAAGTCGCACCCCAGGCCAGCCGTGAGTAACTGGCAGGCGGATTTGCAGTGCGGTTGCCGTGGGAACGGCTCGTTTGACTTCCCCATTTTCTGTCCGACATTCTGCTTTCATTCCCTGCAAGAAAATATTTAGAGAGACATTTCTTATTTTTGGAGTGGGGGGAACAATGCATGTGTTTGCGTGTGTGTCCATGCGCCTGCTGTTGGTGTGGATGTGCGTGTGTCTCCTTTTTCTTTATCATTTTTGTTTTTGTGTTTTTTGTTTTTTTTTTTTATCATTCTCATGCATCAACAACAACAGCCACTAATATTAATTTGGAGTCTGAGGTCAAAGAAGATTGCGCAGAGCCTGACTCAGGTACCCGCTCCCCTGCACCCGCAGCTCCTGCCGTTTCTGACGTGACTGTAGTGTAGAGCATCACGTGGGTGTAAATCTGACCCCCTCCTGTAGGTAGCCTGAATGATGACTCCCATCCCTTTCAGCTGATCTGTGCGCTGTTCCAGTTTGTCCTGACCACATGCAGTGTTAAATAATCACGTCTGCCACTAGCCATGATTATTTTGTGGTGTTAAGGAGTACCTATGGTTACGATAATTGCTCTTGGTATAATTTTGTTTATCTATCCATCTGTCTGTCTATGCCTGTTTTACCTTGAGTAAATTTTACGAATAAAGTTGCATATTACACATTGTCAGGGTTTTAATGCCTAGTAACTTATATCACATCTCTCTATCCTTTTGAACATACCCTGCTCTGGGATTCTATATTCTCATTCCTTAAGTTTTACCCACAGTGTGGTTGTAAGCTGACTTCTCTGTCCTTGTTTCTGCTTGTCCTGTTCCCTTCCTCTGTGTCCTAAAACGTCAAAGGGTCCTTTTTAAAGCGTGGGGGATGGGGGGGCACGTGTTCCCTTCTTTAATGCCATTGCGCTGTCCTCCTGCATGGTCGGCGGCAACTTAGACACCCTCCCATTCGCGTGACGTACCTACAATGGGGGCAGAGCACCACCATTGGCCTAATGAGATCCCACTGCATGCAGCCTGGGCTCTTCTGAGGGCATCATATGTGCAATCTTTATTAAAAGCACATCCTGTCCTGTTGGAGGTGCTGACTTCACTGTACGTGCCAAATCGGATGGCATGTCATCCACATTGAGCAGGATTTAAGGGGCATAGCAATTTAAGCCGTTCTGGCGATTTTCCGTCCCCTCTGCTTGGTGTTGGATTTACTGGCGCTGTTCCCGTTCCGTTTGTTTCTGTCCTACCTGTGCTGTCGTTGGCTGAGCTGTCACTCTGTTTGTCTGTGTCAGTCGCAGCGGTTCCTGACATCGTGACCCCGGATAACCGTAAAGGTTTGTGGATGCCCGTTTTGCGTGTGCATTGCTCTGTGTGTCTTGTGTGCCCGGCCAGTGGGGGGGGGGGGGGTGAATCGGGAAGAGGAGAGAGATCCCAGTGGAATGTGGTTAATTTTGCGCACTGCCAGGTGGCTGCCGGAGTGGCATGCTTGAATAATCTTCATTCTTGCACATCATGGCCGACGCATCTCAGCAGGGGAGTTGCTGATCATGAATCAGTCTTACTCGGGATGCAAGTGCTTCCTCCTTCCAGTTCCTCTTGGGTTTCTGATCGTGGCGAAAGGTCTTTGTTCTCAAAACCTTTTTAAATGGTCACGCTTGCAAGATGATTGTTCCTTCAAGATGCAGACATGAATATATAATCTGCAATTTCTGTCTCTAAAGGAGAGCTCCTGTGAGAATCCTATATCTGAAGTTTTGAATATCATTCAGCACTACCAGCACTGAGTTTTGTCCTTTGTCTATGACAGAAAATGTCAGATTAGCCACTGCAGCTTTCACTGCTGTCCTCGAAGCACACGTAGGACCATCGATGAGGGCCGAGGACAGATCGGACCTAAATCCTGTAATCTGACCCATGTCCTTGATTGGTCACCCTCGTGTGTCATGGGAGATGGAGCACAGCTGCTTCCTGAGGGGTTGTGGCTCATGTCATAAGCCTTGAGTGCATATTATAGCGCTTGTCTGATAAACAGGTTTTCGCCAGAGAGCTGTCTCCTCGCATGCTCAGTCTATGCCAGAAATGACCTCTCTCACTCTTGGTTTTGTGTGGTTTACCTGCTGTAATGGTTCTTTCTTCTCTTGGTCTCTCAGCTCAACCGGGCTCTGGCCACCCTTATTAAATCTATATTTTGTTTTCACCTCCTTCTGAGTGATGCCGTGAGAAACCCCTGCTCTGTGACACTCCTGTACGGTTTTCACAGTGCCCCCGCCCCCAGCGGAGGACGTGGACAAGCAACGGCGCAGGTTCAACATGCGGATGCTGGTCCCTGGTCGGCCTGTCAAGGAGACGCCTGCCACCCCGCCTCCGGTGCCGGCTGAGCGGCCCACCTACCGGGAGAAGTTCATCCCTCCAGAGCTCAGCATGTGGGACTACTTTGTGGCTAAGGTAGGAGGCCGTCACCCTGCCCTGCCTTTCCTGTCCTGCCCTGCCTGCCCTGCCCTGCCTTTCCTGTCCACGTCCACCGTGGCGTTAGCTCTCCTTATTTTCAGCGACACTAAACCATTCGAATCACCCCCCCGCCCGATGCAGCCCTTCCTGCCCCTGTCCGACAGCGGCGCTTTGTACGATTCCGACGAGAGCGTGGCCAGCGACGATGAAGACGATGACGCCTTCCTGTCCGACACGCAGATGACGGAACACTCCGACCCCAATTCATACAGGTCTGCCGTGTCTCTTTTCTTCTTGCCCACTGTCTCCGTCCATTGTCCGTCAGTTGCTTGTGGGTGGGTAACACCCTTACGTTACCCATGAATCATGTGCGGGGGCAGCAAAGTGATGCATTGATTTGCTCTCCCCTGTAGTTGGGCCCTCATCCGGTTGGTTATGGTCAAGTTGGCTCTGCATAACATCAAGAGCTTCCTCCCACTAACAGGCCTGGATTTCACAGGTACTGCACAACCACTCTAATTCAGAGTTTCAGTGGACCCCCCCCCGCCCCCATCCAGCATGGAGGAATGGTTTCGTGATGCAACTTGTTTGTTTAGCAGGGTGCCCGTTGTTGAGTTTGAGCTTCTTTGCGGTCATCTTTGCAGATTTGCCTGTGACGTCACCTTTGGTGAATGCGATTCTGAAGACTCTGGAGAACTGGGAGCAGCTGATTCTGGAGAGGATGAATAAGTTTGATGGGCCGCCACCCAGTTACATCAACACCTACCCGGCTGACATCAGCGTGGGGGGCAGTCCGGCTGTCCTCCGGCACAAGGCCATGCTGGAGCCCGATAACACACCTTTTAAGTATGTCCACCCCCCTCACCCCCCAGCGCTTTACACCGACCCTTTGCAGAGCGCTAACAGTGACCTCTGCTCTCCCCAGGACGAAACACCACTTGTCGTTTCCTGTACGGCGTCTGTGGCACTTCTTGGTCAAACAGGAAATCCTCCAGGAGATACTGATCCGCTATATCTTCACCAAGAAGCGGAAGCAGACTGAGGTAATGAGGCAGAGCTGAGTCTGTGCCCCCACGCCTGGAAACACCAGCCTCACTCCCTTTTCCTTTCATAATCATCCCGGGGAAGTTGCATTTGGCCTTGATACCTGTATTACCTCCCGTTGCTCCTATATACTGCAGAAATTCTCATACATGCCTATGACTTGTCTTAGTGAGTGTAAGCATTGCCCCTCTTAGACCTGCACAAAACTTATTACATATTACAACCCTGTTTCCAGAAAAGTTAGGACACTGTAAATTACTTTGTAATTCAGTTTTTTTTCTCTGCTTCTGTGCACCAAAAGCAAATGGCTTTTATTTCAAGGCGAGTTAGGCTTGTCAGACAAGCCTAACTCGCCCGCCCCGTATCTTCCAGTCACTTCCCCGGTTTTGGTTGTTTCACGTTTGTCATTGTTCTGGTGTGGTACTGCATTGTGAGTCTGGCAGAAGACCAGCGACACACCTACCCCTGTTGTGATATTTTAACTGGTTTGTTCTGGATTTCGTCGACAAGCCAAGGTAAGTCATGCATGTATTTCATCCGGACACCATCAAGTGATGTGCCGTGAGGAGTTTGCTCAGTCGGTAAGTGATCTTAACTGGTCGGAGATCAGTTAAGATGACGCATTTGTGTGAAATGATGACCCATTCATTACATCTTTTCTACCTCTGTAAACCCTCTTTTTTTCATTTGATGTTTTTTTTTTTTCCGTTTGTGCATGTTTTTGTCGTTTGTGACTGTGTGGCGTGTATATGTGTGTCTTTGTGTGTGTGTGTGTGTGTGTGTGTGTGTGTTTGTGTCGTGTAGTTTTTAGAAGACCATGTGGACCAACTCGCACAAAACTGCGTAACAGGAGGTCGAAAACCCAGCAAGGTAGCGTGCCCCCACTGCGGCCCCCGCCGGCAGCTTTCCGCTATGCCCCCCCAAGCCGCGGCGACCGCTGACTGACCTTTTCTAACATGAGCTCTCTCCACTCCCAGCCCCTAACAAAGATGATAAACGATAAATCCTCTATTTGCCACTTGCAAGTACAGGTACATTGGAATGCTCCTCTTTGCCAACGCCATCTTGCGCTCCATAGCTTTGGGGGGGGGCGTCACAGCGCAGGGTCAGCTAACATGCAGCGCCCCTGGTGCTGGGGGGTTAAGGGCCTTGCTCAAGTTCCCGCGGACATGTGACTGTTCTGCTGAGGCCAGTGCTTGAACCAGCACTCACCGGCGCTGCTCATGTTCTGGCAGTAACACCTTGAGAAAACACTAATAATAAAGCACAACCGATGTGCCGTAAATGCTGCTCACGCTCTGGCTGGGACTCCCAGACTTCCCTGCGGGGCGTACAGTTTAATACGCAGGGTGTCTTCTTTAGAGCGATGGACGACTGATCGGCACTGTATCTCCTCAGGTGGAGGCGGATCTCGGCTACCCTGGGGGCAAAGCTAAAGTTATTCACAAAGAGTCCGACATTATCATGGCCTTTGCCATCAACAAGGTGAGTCTTTCTTACTCGTGTCAGCCTTTACTGGCTTCAAATCATGAGCAGGTGACTTAATGTCAGTTGACCACAAAAAAAGAACAAAAAAGCCCAGTGATTACACTAGAGACCTGCGCGGGACGGATTTTTCAGTCCCGCTCCTGCCCGCTCCCGCAAAAAATATATATTATTTTCTCCCGCTCCCGCCCGCAAAATCCCGCAGGTAAACATATAAGTAGTTTTATTTTTACTGCTTCTTCCCGCTACTCTATTTGTTTCACTTGCTTCCCTTTTGAATATATATAAAAAAGAAACGGAAAATAAACAAATATGTTTAATTTTATTTCAGTTTAATTAAATGGAATGATGAACATGGACATGAACGAGGAGCTTTTCAGAACATGCCATCCCGTCCAAGCACCAGGCTGATTCCTTCTTGGGGTCTTAATTCTATTCTCCCGCAACCCGCACATACATGAGGACCTTACCGCCCGCACCCGCATTCACCCATCAAATCTTGTTCCGTGCCGCACTCACAATTGTAACACATTGCCCAGGACATTCATGTGTTACAATTAACAGCTGTGGTATTGCATGTGATGCCTGTAACAGGGAAGTTTTTCTCCATGATTCTTGTCTACCAACTTTAAAGGGAAAGTATATTGGAAAATAAATAAGTGGCAGGTCTCTAGATTACACTCACTGGATGTTCTTCATTGTACTGTACTAGTCTACAATTTTGAGGATTAAATGCACTAATATTAAACTGTGGACGCTGTGAGTTAGTGGTATGAAACGGCAAAAATGGCTGCCTCTCCAGAACTCCTCCCAGTAGGCAATGGGGCAGTCAGTTGACCAATCACGTGCTTTTCAGTTCCACTTTGCCAGCTCATGTTAGACTATGAATCTGCTGGGCAGTTGGGTAGCATTTTGGGCATTTTGTTGGGGTAGTAATCTGCCGCTCTTTGATTTTGCTTTTCGGTAGGCCAACACCAATGAAATCGTGCTGGCCTCCACTCACGACGTGCAGGAGGTCGATGTCTCCACCCTCTTGGCGGCCCAGCCCTTCACCTGGATTGGGGAGGAGTTCGACAAAGAGTCCCGCAGGTCCGTATGGGCACCTGGGGTCAGGCGGACCTCAACTGGTGTGTGTGTGTGGGGGGGGAGGGGTTGTGACCGTTTCTGGGACCTTCTGTGTCGCCCTCAGCTCTGACGACCTGGATTACCGCTCCTCCCACACCAACATTGCCCAGGCCAGCTCGGCTCCCTTTGCTCCAGCTCAGGTGCCCGTCTCCTCCTCCATGCCGTGGCTGGGCAGCGGCCAGACCAGCACCGGCGGCAGCGTGGTACGTGGGGCCCGAGGGGCCGCCAGCCGCCCAGGGGATCTGACCCACGCTGTGAGAGACAGGCAGCCAGCAGATGGAGCCCCCTGTCAGACTCCTCTACTGCAGAGCTCCGACCTTTCCATGACCTTCTTCCCCATAGCCATTGGCTTAGCAGACTGTATGTCCCCCTTAAAGGGGCAGTTCACCCCAAAACTGAAAAAGATATGTTTTAGAGGGGCTTCAGTGTTATCTACCCAACTAGGTTCTGCTGTGAGTTGCCTAGTTTTGGTGATATTGGCCATAGAAATGTCGGGCTTCTCTTGAATATAATGATTCAAAAAATTCAACGGCAATGTCTCATCAGAAATTATGACTCAGTTACTCAAGATAATCCACTGACTTTGTAGGCAACAGTTTAATATAGGAGATATTTTCTTCTACTGAATTCCACACACCAGTCGTATCACTGCGCAGAAGAGACAAGCACCCCTGCAATCCTTTGCACAGTTGTATGATTGGTGTATGGAGTTCTGAAGAAGAAAATAGTTCCAAGTTTAAGATTATTTGTTGGGTATTTCATATAAACCATGGCTTCATGTGTTACAATTAACAGCTGTGGTATTGCATGTGATGCCTGTAACAGGGAAGTTTTTCTCCATGATTCTTGTCTACCAACTTTAAAGGGAAAGTATATTGGAAAATAAATAAGTGGCAGGAAAGTGGGAAATAGGCAAATGATGCTTCCAGGATAATCGGGGTCTTGCTGTAACTGCGACACAAACTCAGTGGTGGCACTTTGCTTTCTGCAGATCATGAAGAGGAACCTGAACAATGTGAAACGAATGACTTCCCACCCAATTTTCCAGTACTGTAAGTCTGCTGCCTGCTCAGACTCCAGCGAGAGGAGGCATCTCAGGGCGTCAAAACAAACCACCGTGTTTTTGTTTAATATTTTATTTAGAGGCTTTGTCTCCTGCTGCTTGTATTATGGTTTAAATTCTTTTCGGGAATGGTTTAATGCATAAAATCCCTCTGATTTTTCCAGCAATTCGTCATATCTTGGACTGTTTATCGTGCTTGGCATTGGGGTTTATCTCTGAAGTCAATGCTTCTCTCTGATGTTGCAGTTTTAATTGCATTTCCTTTGCACAGAGGAAAATACAGTACTTGACACACAAAATCAGGCCCATAGCGTCTGGTGTTTAATCCGCTGAAACGAGTCCACCGGCTCCCCCTGGTGGCCTGACGCCGATTTACTGTGGTCTGCCTTCAGACATGACGGGCGCTCAGGACGGCAGCGTGCGCATGTTCGAGTGGAGCCGGCCCCAGCAGCTGCTGTGCTTCCGGCAGGCTGGGAACGCCAGGGTCACACGACTCTACTTCAACTCCCAGGGAAACAAGGTGAGCGAGGCTGAGGAGCTGTCTGAGCTGAACCTCTGGCTGTCGGTCTATGCTTTACTTTACCTCTTTTTACCATCTTTTACATATCTGCCTGTTTTAATTGTATTTGCGTTTTATTTCCTCTTTTATTTCCGTGTTTCAAGTGTGGTAATTCATATCTGTTACATAATTGACATCATAATTATGGCCGACGTACCCGCAGTGTGCCTGATCTGCTGAGAATCTGGTGACTCACTTGGCCGGATTTTGTTAGCTGTGAAGTGTGTCGAGCGCGGGGCTGTTTGGCTGTTTGAGGGAAGGTGTTGGTGGCACCTTCAGGGTTTGGTGCTGTGAGGACAGGAACAAAGTGATGGGGGGGGGGGGGATGTGTGGCTTGTTGGGGAGGCCTTGGGGGGCCCATAATTCACTGGGTTTATTATTTGCTGTGGCTCTCGTATTATATCCGGTGAACGACAGCGGTTTGCTGTTAGTGCTGTTCATTGTGGAGCTCAGGTAATGAAAACCGTATTGGCTTCACACAGATGTCATTCAGGTCTGGCTGGAAGGAACAAAATTGTATTTACTTTGTTCCCTTTGAGCTGATGAATAGCTCTTTGTGTCATCTGTTGGGGGGAAAGAGATCGTCCACGGTCCTGGGGGGGTCAGCTTTGGAAGCTCTTGCAGCCCCCTTTACATCTGACAACGCCATTCCCTTTGAGAGACTGTTGCATTCATTTAATCAGATTAACCATTATTTCAGTAAAGCTGTAATGAAAACCTCAAACTACCTGCCTGGCCCAGAAGTAGGATCCCTCGTGTAAATTACTGCTCACTCAACATGTTATCGCGCCATTAATCTGATTCCCCGACGGCTATGGCTACCTGTAGAATCTTTGTCCTGTTTTATTAAGTAAAATCATCTCTCCAGTGTGGCGTCGCAGATGGTGAGGGGTTTCTAAGCCTTTGGCAAGTCAACCAGACGTCTTCAAATCCCAAACCTTATTTGGTAAGTCATGCAAAAAAGATGAAGAGAAATTCTTTGGGATTCATGGTCCAGGGTTTAGGACAGACTAAATACAGTGTTAATAATTGAGTGTGTACCTCACCCAGTCCCTAATGTCCCTCTCCTCCATGTGCACAGAACTGGCAGTGCCACTCCAAAGCTTGCGGTGACTTTGCCTTTATAACCTCATCCAGCCTCATTGCCACCGCCGGCCAATCCAACGACAGCAGGTGATCACATGTTTACTTCTGTTTGGTTCTGTATTGTGTGGACTTGCATTGAACTGGATGCTATACTTAATTTCTTTTTTCCTCCTACAGAAACGTGTGCTTGTGGGATACTCTTATCTCGCCCAGTAATTCCTTGATCCATGGTAAGTACGCAGGTAGATCTTCAGCCAGCAAGAATTAGACCCGTATTAATGTAAAAGTGGCCCAACTTTGAACCTGTTGACAATGTCCTGTTACTTATGGCAAATTGTGATGTCCATGTAAATAATGCTGCAGGTGTGTCAGGGAACAGAGCCATGTGACGTTGTAATTGGAGCAGGAATGGGGCCTTAATTTGGGTTTGGGAGTGGAGGTCAGTTTAAATATTTAATGGGGACGAAGACAATAGGCAGTTGCTTCAGTGTCAGCGCTGGGGAATTAGCATGCCCTCCATTTTAGCCCAAAACCTCTCCACATCAAAATGGCTGAGTCCGCTTTGCCTGCTACCCAGCATTCCCCTGTCACGAGAACGGCGCCACGGTCCTGCAGTACGCCTCCAAGCAGCAGCTCATCATTTCCGGCGGACGGAAGGGCTTTATCTGCATCTTCGACATCCGGCAGCGGCATCTGCTCCACACCTTCCAGGCCCATGACTCGGCCATCAAGGCCCTGGCCATGGACGCCACGGAGGACTACTTCGTCACGGGATCGGCGGAGGGCAACATGAAGGTGCAGTGGGCTCACGTCCGCCCAAAGAGATCCGTGTCTGAGGAGAGGCGTGACTGCCTGCAAGCTCACATTGTTCAGGATTCTCTCTCCTTAAGTGTCTGTGTGTATGAGAGACAGTGTCTGAGTGAGTGGTCATCGTGGGGACCATTTTTCCAGTCCCCATAAGAATAAACTCAATTTTCTAAAAATCATGCCAGAAAAGAATGCCAGAAGTCTTGTCTTTTGTTTAGTTACTTATGGTTAAGGTTAGGGCTGGGTAGGGATTGTCATAGTTGGGATTAGGGTTTTTCCTAAAGAAGTGAATGAACAGTCCCCGCACATATGTGACTGGAAACGTGTGCGTGAATGCATGCGTGCGTGTGTTTGCGGTTCTCTAACGTCTCATCGCTCCCCTCCCTCTGCACGGCCAGGTGTGGAAGCTGACAGGTCACGGGCTGCTTCACTCCTTCAGCACGGAGCACGCCAAGCAGTCCATCTTCCGCAATATTGGAGCCGGCGTCATGCAGATCGAGACGAGTCCCGGCAACCGGATCTTCACCTGCGGCGCCGATGGCACGCTGAAGATGCGTGTGCTGTCAGACCGCTACAACATCCCGGCTAGTATATTTGATATCTTGTAAATTGTAAACGGAAAGTGATAATAACAGAAGCCTAATATGGTAAAACCTGGAAAAACACACGTTCTGCAGCAGTGATGTCTTATCGCCTGTGGATTGTAACAAAGTGAAGCTTACACAAAGTATTTTTCCCCACAGCCTAAACAAGGAGGCTATTACACTTGATTTTAAAGAGGAATTGCTGCAGTAAAAATAAAAATTTAAAAGCTGAATTTGTTCCAATCTCTCATAGAGTGTATTAATAGGACAGCTATGCATGTACTGTAATTGTAAAAGCGGTGCAATCACAGGTTATTGATAGTGCTCTGTAAATGTACTCCAAGCAAAAATTTAAAAAAAGTGTGTACCTGTTGTCATTTTGTGCCCACAGCATCTGTTACCAGCACTGTGGTTCTGTTAAGTGGTTTCCAGTGTGAATCGAGTTGTCGGATCTTCATTTTATTTTGTTTTTATTTATTATTTATTTATTTGCTGCTCAGGCTTCAGAGTTTAGAGGGAAAAAAATGACATGTGACCCCTTTACCCCTGTGAAGTAGCCGGCGGTTCTAACCTAGAGACCAGAGGCTGCCGCTGTCGTGTTCCTGCACTACCAGAGCTGCTGTCATGGGGCTCCCAGGCTGGTGGGGCTGCTTAGTTAGAGCGCCCTCTTCTGTAAGTCTGGCTCCTATGTTTCAAAAGCACTAAAGAGGTCAGTTTGACAAGAAACACACGTTTGTGTTCATTTTGCTGCAATAGACTTTTTTTTTTTTTTTTTTCCTCTAGTTAATTTCCTTCCACTGTTTGTTTAACTTATTGCCTTCGTTAGGATGTGCTGTGTTTTGCATAGCTAAATGGGACAGTGCAACAATATGTAGGACGGTGTCATTTTTTTTTTTAACAATTTATCCATAACGAAGGAACCTTTGCACTCAAATCTTGGGACATTATAAAACTTTATTTAAAAATACAAATGCAAACTATTACAGCAGAAACTGTTACATTTGCAAATGAATGTCTGGCTCTCTTAGGCCAAATAGTTTTAATATACATATATAAATATATAAAGTACCAAGACAGCTTGTATAAACATTAAAGCATTTTCTTTATTATTTTATTTGTATCATACGAGCTGAATTAGTTGTACTTTTGGTTAAATGTATGGTACTCGTTGGACAGGTTTGTGTTTCTGTCGAGAACTGTTGGAAGCCGTGGCCCAAGCTGTGTTTAATTGTTCAACCAAAATGTACTTTCCCTTCCTGTCTGTCGTGTACCTTGAGCTCCTGCTGCTCTCGCCCATGGGGAAGAATCACACGAAAGCCGGGAGACCTCGGTAGTCTGTGAACCTGCTGGTAGTCCTATCACCATAAATGTTTTACCTTTGTAAGTTGAATAAATTCTTTTTATCTCATGAAGCTAATTTTGTACTTTAGGTCTTTTTTCCTTTGTAGAAAGACAGACATGCTGACAGGCTTGAGTACCCCAGCTGCCGTTTTGGACAAGTTTCTTTTGAGTAATTTTAATTATAAACTGAGTGATGAATGCTAGGGTGGGAAATTCCAGGCATTGGCTCTTATTCAGTCACTGATTTATTCCTGAAGCATTGACTCTTTAGGTCATTATTTTGATTCCCGACCACAGACAGTGGACCCAGTGCACCATAATGCATAGTGCTTGTTTCCTTTCACTGGTAAAAAGTACAAACACATGGCACAGCTGTTTTATTAAATATACCAACATAGTCCAAGTACGACCCCTTTTTGTCTCTGGGACAACAGTAAGTGAGCTCTTTGTTCACTGTTGTACTGAGCTGTTATGTTTGCTTATAGCCTCTTAGCTTTAGCAAGTGTAGCTAATGTCCTTTGACTTCTCACTTAAGTGTTTTCGCCCACAGAGCTGCCCCAGACTGGGTGCTGTCTGTAAACCCGTGCACACTGATGTGTGTGAAAGTACCAGGATGACTGGAACTGCCTTGTATGGTATCAATTACACCATATGTAAAATCACTTAGATCACAGTTTAGTGATTCTGATATTTAGCTGCCCATTAAATGAAGTGCTTGATCCTGTCTGCATGCTGTACATATTCACACAGAGCCACGAGTCGCTTTTTGTTGGAGCTGGACGTTCCGATGAATGAGCAGCACTGATATACTTGACGTGCTGATCCTCGGCTCATTCCTGTCCTTCCACAGACATTAACAGTTAGGCATATACATGAAATGGTTAAAAAAAAATCTTCCTGCTGTAGCTGTAATTTGCACATAAATCTGTTGAAGCTTGAGAAATGTTTATCTATGACCCTGCAAAAAAACTAATCATCAGACAGAAAAACTACATCATAAGTTTGCACATAACTGTTGTCCCAAACGTAGAGGGTTTGGTTCTTCGGACTGTAGGACACCATGGTCAGGATGCCAGTCGGCGCCCGAAATTCGACGCTCACGCTCAGGGGTTCCCGTTTAAATAGGTCGAATGCATACGTGATTTTCGTGTCTTTTGCATCAGTGATGTAGAGCACCCCACGGGCTATGAAGGCATTACCAGCCTTTGTTCTTGGGTAGGAGGCATTGATATAGGTGGTGATCGAGAAGGTGGTCTCCTCCAGCTGAGCAACGATAATGTTTTCATCTATGCTAGAAGCAAATATGAGCCACAGGCCATTTTCATCCACAGCTAACTTGAAGTACGTCTTAGAGTTGTGGAGGAAATAGATCAAGTTGTGGTACAGGGCATTCTCAATGGCCAACGTATATAATTGTTGGGTTTGCAGATTGAATCTGTAAAATAACACAGAATAACCATAGATGGCAAATGAGATTTATCTGTCAATTTTACTTTAGCTAATGACCCCTGTACTTACTTCGCGACCTTGAAGGTTCCAGCTATATGGTAGTAGAAGGACCCATTGTGAACAGTATGACCACAACCCTGGAAGAACTTTTTGACGTCAATGCTGTTGGCGCTTCCATTCTGGAACGATTCCATGTTCTTGTATTCCTTCACTATTCGGCCTAGAAGAGGGCAGATTCAAGCAAACTTACTCACACTTAATGTAAAGCAACCCAGTTTTAAAACAAACTGATGAGACAGACGTACCAGAGAAATGTTCAACCACCCAAATGCGAGGGTCATTTTCTGTAGCCGTGTCTTGCATCCATGTTCCGAATGTACTCTCCATTTTAGTGACATTTATAGGACCAAGTAAAGCTTTTATTATGTTCTCTGTAGGATTGAAACAAATGACGCATTTTACTAAGTGAACATTCACTGATTTGACAGAGAAACTATGAAACAAACAGGACATGTTACCAGTTTTTGTAAAAGTTGCGTCTTTCTTTGCCATTCTTTCAGCCAAGGTGTCATCATTTGGGTTGGCATGTACCACCCCTGGAACAGAAATCCATTAGAATTACGGTAGTAGGGTGCTTTATCAATCCCCTGGGCAAAAGCCTCTATAGACTGCCTTCACTGAAAGTATCCTCAGACATACCAAGGCCAGGCTTCAACCAACAACCTTCTAATCACAGGTACAGAGGACCAGCCCACTGAGCTATTCAAGCAGCCACTGAACTAACAGAGAAACCATAAAACCAAGAGGAAATTGGGTTCAGACATATCACCCCCTGGAAAAGAAAATTTATAGTGGTTAGCACTGCTGTCTCATACATCTGGGACCTGGGTTCAATCCTTAGGTTCTGCCTTGGTTGTAACCTCACCTTGTCAGTATTCACTGCTCCATGTAATGTGAGAAATACTTCAGAAGCCAAAATTTGGTTAGTACTCTACATCAATGAAATTAGCAAAGTAAAATGTCTTCTCAATAGACCAGTGTAATACTGATAGTGAGATTAGTCCTCTATATTTACTTATCTCAATGTGTATGTATTACACTGACTACTCTCATATCAATAGTTTGCTGTGCTAGCTAGAGGAGTAATGTCATTTCTCTGGTGCATCTAGATGAGTGTTTCCCAATCTGGTCCTTGGTGATCCCCAAACAGCCCATCTTTGCCCCCAACTCACTGCTAGCCAGTCCTACATATTGGTGTCAGTAACTGTCCTCCTCACCCTTACGCTCATGCTCACCTCCAAACTTCTGGGCCGGGAGCTGGGACTGTTGCCCAGTCTCACCCTGACTTTTGCTCCTTGCTACTCTAGGGGGGCCAGAAGGCCCAGGAGGACCCGGAATTCCCGGAGGACCAGCAGGACCAGGGGGACCTTAGCAAAAAGAAAACACACAAACCTAAAACGATCCAAAATGTCTTCACCCCCGGCAGGAATGTTTGATAAATATTTGTTGACAGTTTTTCATTTTGAACAAATTTTTCATAAAAAGCTTTAATATAAAATATTCCACAATGTGCACAATAAATGCTGTCCTCCAATCTTCTATAATAACAATTAAGCTCTGTCCTTTTCACCTGGAGGACCAGGAACTCCCACGTCTCCTTTTTCACCTGGAGGACCAGGAACTCCTATGTCTCCTTTTTCACCTGGAGGACCAGGAACTCCCACGTCTCCTTTTTCACCTGGAGGACCAGGAACTCCCACGTCTCCTTTTTCACCTGGAGGACCAGGAACTCCCACGTCTGATTTTTCACCTGGAGGACCAGCAACTCCCACGTCTCCTTTTTCACCTGGAGGACCAGCAACTCCCACATCTCCTTTGTCTCCAAGATCCCCCCTTTCACCTAGTTGGCATGAATCATTATACAGTGGTACCTTGGTTTACGAGCATAATTCGTTCTGGAAACATGCTTGTAATCCAAAGCACTTGTATATCAAAGCGAATTTTCCCATTAGAAATAATGGAAACTCATATGATCCGCTCCACAACTCAAAAATATTCATATAAAAATTATTAATACAAAATATAAAGTAAAAATACATAAAACAAATTAACCTGCGCTTTACCTTTGAAAAGAATCGTGGATGGTGTGAGGGAGACGAGGGAGGAGAAAAGGAGGGTTATTTTGTAGGACGACTTTCACTATAATTAACGGAATCACTGCTATCTGTTGGCTCACTGGAATCTTTTTCTGTTTGTGCGACTTTAACAAGGAACCCACCCAGCCTCTTTTGCCTCCTTTTCGATTTTGCAAAAATGTGGACATTGCATTGTCGTTAAACAGATTCATCGCTCGCACTGCTACGCCCTTATTCAGGTGGTGCTTTTCTACTAAATTTTGACTATACGAGTCAGGCATGCCGACTGAGACCGAGCATGGGAGACGATTACCCACAATTCCGCAGCGTGAGAAAGTGAATAACCATTGGTTCAGTTGTGATGACGTGCGCTCGGTGTCAAAACAAGAAGCACATGCATGCGCTTCCTGTTTTGAAGCCGAGCGCACTCAAAAACAAGAGAAACAAGGAGCACCTGTGTGCCATATGATTATTGATGATACTTGGCGCTCGTAAACCAGGACTTGATCGGTTTCCAAGTCAAAAGGTCCCAATGTATTATGAGCTTTGCACAGGACGTCTATATGTAATATGTCTATAGGTAATATGTAACCTGTTAAATCCAAGCTACCATAGCACATCCATAAACACCATGGTATGCATTTCCCGATTCCCAAATCGACACGTCATTTGCTCTTCAAAGCTGAGTTTCTGAAGAACATTTGGTTTTGTTGCAGGCTGTTAGTTTCTTAGCAACTACATTCAAGAACAGGCGTTTGTATAAAATCTGGTGCATGTACAGTGGATGCATGAAGGCAGAATATTCTCACATTTCTTACTAAGTTTCTTGTGAAAAGGAACCACAAAGTCAAATCCACAATCACCAACTAACTTCCAAGTCGGCCTCGCAGCCTTGCTTCAGTTCTTCATGATTACTGGGGAGTGGTGTTGTTTTCGGAGATTTTTTTTAACACATGCATATTAATCTGGACAGTAACTGATCTCGAGAAGGGATGCATTAAACCAGGCACTGTAATACACATTATGAACACTTTAGCAATACAAAACATTTATGTATATAAATAGATGGACATACTTTATAAGTAATAAACTGATAAAGTAAAATATTAAACAACCCTATCTTTATGTTTATCACATAAAGGAACAAACATCATTCATTTTTTCAACATACTGTATATTTTAACCGGAATAGCATTCCCCTTAGAAACCTCTGTGTAAGATTAAAGTGAACACTTTCTAATTTGGATTGCAAACTGTAACATTATCTTTTTACTGTTATACACACATGCAGTGTAGAGCTGTTCAGGTTCGGACCATGCTAATTGTTTACACTTAGCAGCTTAGCTTTGGAAATTTTTCACAGTGACTAGTAATCTGTCCCATTTACACAGCTGGTCATCACAGGCCATCCTCACATTAATCACCAACAGGCGACAGCTAGCTGAGTTTGGAAGCCTCTCACCTCTTTTTCCTCGCCTGCCCTGCACTCCCGCGTCTCCCTTGGGCCCTGGTAACCCATCCGTTCCATTGTGTCCTGTGATCCCATGAAAGCCAGACAAGCCTTAAGTGCCCACAGACAATCCACGTGCTCGTTTGTGCAGATAAAACATTGAGTACATTCACCAAAATTTCATACTGCTTTGCACAGGACCAGGTGCTGCGCTAATAATGTTAAGAAGATGAACTCTAAATAATAATGGATTAAGGAGGAACTTTTTCTTATTTATGTCTTACCAGGAAGGCCTGGAGGTCCTGTAACAGAAAACAGAGATTTGTTTTAAGACAACGGCATCATATCACAGCTGGATATTACCAACATGAATGTAGCTGGTTTACAGACTGTACGATGGCTCATGCACTGGTTCACTTTCTTAGATCATAGGCAGCTGGAAAGTAGCTGTCCCAGACTATTACCTGCTGGTAGTTGTATTATGTGACGTACCTGTTAAGCAGATTCCTTTTGTGCTGTTACAGAGCTCCACCAAGATTCTGACCTACAAAAAGGGGTAAGAATTGTTTCAGTTCTGTCTGACCACCCAGTTATCACCTCCCAGTAACTGAAAATATACAAAGACAGATTCTCAAAACAATGCACATGAACTGACAGACACCAGCTAAAAAAAAACAAATATTATAGTGGGGGGAAAAAACTACAGACAGTCCTGTTACAAGTGTCATATCACACCACAAGTTTGTTCTAACGCGATTGACATATTAGTACCCAATAACCCTCTGAAATAACATTGCAACATCTTAAGACATTTGGACCGTAAAAGCTTCCATACTATTGGCTGTTGTCACATACAGTACCGACCTCATTCTGACACAGAAGCTGCGTCGGGCGGTATGTTAGCCTGGGTTATGGCCACGTGAGCTCCATCTTTTGGTTATGCTGGCTCTGCGTTTGGCCACATACTTATCATGTGTAAATGTGGTGTAGTATTTGGAACAGTCCATTTGTGCGGGTAATTTTGAACTCTGCTGGATGAGAAGACCATAATATAACGCCCAAAAACTTCACTCACAAGTGGCCAATATTTTATTCAGTACTGTGCAAAAGTCTTAGGCAGGCAAAGAAATTTATGTTTATTATCCTCGTTGGTGTAAAACTATGATATTATGCCTGTCAAAGTGTGTCAGCTTAGCCATTTCAGAACCTCTGCTAAAATCATTCCAGTATTTGCAGCGACCGTCCAGTGCAGCCATGTATTTTTTTACTTTGGCTACTAGTCACTGACTTTTTAAACCAATTTATTTAATTATTTAATTGAGCTGTTGGTGAAATTTAACAAAGTCATGGAACGGCTGAGGTGCCCCTGAGGAGAAGTTTGGGAACTGAAGCGGTGTTCATCTAGCCATCCAACTGGATATCAGTAACTTTTTAGGAAACAGAAGAAATTATTACTAGTTTTTATTGTGTTACTCTTAATTTGCACAGGTTCTAATGTTAAATTGTGTTTTTTGTTCTAAGCCAAAGTACACTTGCTAGCCAGATAAACAGCTTTAAACTAGTGCTGTCAAACGATTAAAATTTTTAATCAGATTAATCGCAGGGTTTCTGTGGATTAATTTCAACTAATCACGATTAAATATAATTAATTTTTAATCTATATTAAGACTCAAGTAAAAAGGGAATATATATGCACTTATGTTTATTGAACATCTTGAACACAAGTCAGATGCATTCCATCTGCCACAGAAGTGCAATACCATGGACCCATATCAAAAAGCAAGATTTTTTGCTTAGCCGGACAACTTGTCTTATTTAAGGTACCTCTAATGGTCTTTATCTTCGTTCACTTACAATTAGCCCGAACTACCGTAAATCCTACAAATAATCCGACTAATCATGAAACTACAACTTTCCCTTCTGTTGATAAAGGGCGCAGCCATCTTGGATTCTGAACTCGGGATCCTCTGTGCTGCTCCGAGATATTTCTCGGATCTCCGAGAAACAGGAGTACGCATGTTGCCACTTCCGGCTTCAAAACTTGGAGTCCGACTCGGAAATACGAGTTCCCAGGGCAAATGGAACGCACCAAATCTGCCCGAAATGGGTTGACAGAGACATTTCAAGGATTTTGAGTCATTCTGCGCTGCAGATGGGTGTGTGTGAAATGTGAACATATACAAGATCCATAAGAGATGCTATTTATGATATAATGTATTAATGTATTATTATTTCTTATTTAAAATGCATGTAATTACATTATTGGCCACTGGTATCACTGTTTTTAATTATGTAATTCATTTTGTTTGGCGCAAGTTACTAAGTTTTAGATTTGCATTCCCTGAACCGCATTTTTCCCATTGGATGTGTGTATTTTAGTACGCGATTTTAGTGAAAGTGAGGTTTTTCAGGAACACACTAGTCATGTTGTGGCAGGACTGTATTTAAATGTGGCATTAAAATACAGGACTGATGTTGTAAGTGCATGATGGCAAAATACTTCCAGTAAAGGTCATCCTCTTTTGTTTACTTTATGGTCTCTTGAGATAAGCAGAAAAGCTTTTTGCCAATGTTTACAGCTTCTCAAAACTCCTGCCTTCAAATTCCAAGATAAGACAACATGTTCTATCAGAAAACTGTTACAGACACTGACATCAAAGGCCCATGTAACTCTTAATGCGTCATTCTGTAAGACTGTTAATGACTGACATATTGAATGACAATTAATATTGATGACATTTATGCTATAAGAAAAAATGCATGAATTATAGATACCACTAACACTGCCTTATGAACAAAATGGCTATGTATTTAAATGTGTGGACATATTTCATTCATAACAAACTCATACCAAAGAACCATTGAAATTAGATAATACTGTGCTCCCACATCTCACTCTATCAATTGGTTCCACAACCCACTGTGATATTCCAAAACCATGTACGTTCAAGACCGTTATATGAAAGGTGCCTGTTTACTCTGCATATACGCTTATTCCCAGCCTGTTGTATACTTTAAATCATGTCTAGATTACAGAACTGCACCTGTACAATGTAAATTCTGTGCAAGAACGGTATAGTAGTTATAATGTATAAGGGAGAAATTACAAAAAACATTGTACATGCACAGTACAATACGGTACAGAACACAACCACAACTGTTCAAAACTTCACTAAAAACTGTGTAAGATGCAGGCTGATTGTATTAAACATGTATGTTTCATCACATTAAGGTACAAATCTTTCATTTGTTTAAATATATACACCATCCATCTCCTACTCCTGATATTGATCAGGGTTACAGGAGGGCCTGAAGCCTATATAAATTTAATGTGGATTTATATAATATTCTCGGTGTAAAGTATTAAAAACGTGAACACTTCCTTATTCCATTCCATTATTCGTCTCTAAGTGTGGCATTAACTCTTATGTGTCTAGCGTTCTCACCGGCACCATGGAGTAGGTCATCATCATCATCATCTCCTGCTGCTCGTCCCTCTGGGTGCCCGCTGGTGGCCCGTCATCCTGGCTCCTCTTGTCACGGGAGTACTGGTAATGCTCGATGAGCTGCTCGGGGTCACCGGTCACCCCAGTGGGCAGTGGCGCTGCCCGCTCCCCCAGGAGCTCCTGCAGGTGGACGTCCATCTGTGCCAGGCGCTCAGACAGCTGGGCGTGCTGGAGAAGCAGCAGCATCAGGCCCGCCGAGTTGAGAACGGTCAGGACGCTCACCCCAAACAGCAGGGGCCACAGGCCTCTGGACAGCGCAGGGCCGCCCCCCGGCCCCCGCCATCGCCGTGCTCCCGATCCCAGCTTCAGCATGCCGTCCAAGCAGCAGCACAGCGCTGTGTGCAGGGCCAAAGCCGGAAGGCATTCCTTTATGGGCGACGGCAACGCGGGCTACTAAATATGCCCGTTGTTCCCCGGAAAGGTCATGCAAAACTCACTGTTGCGCAATGCGAGGCCTCTAAAAAAAGCAGACCGAGTGGTGGGGCTGCCCGCAACGTCACACACATTTACAATACAGCTGAGATGGAGGAAGTTAAGTGGGTGGGGGGGCAGTGGCGGTTCGTTGGATGGTGGTCACAAGCACTTCTTCAGGAGGGGTCCCAGAAGAACAGTGTCAACATCAGTCTGCGGGCTGCTGCCTCAAAATCAGAGTGTATTAACAACTCCCAAAGGACAGCAGAAATGGAGGATTATCATACAAACTATATATATATGTATAAGATTTCATGCTGTTTTATTTTTATCATCATATTTATTCAAATGCATAAGCCAAGAATACCCTTTCACACATATTCACACAGAAATCAATTCACTTGAATTCAAAATTTATATAGCACATTTTTGGTCTCAAAGTGCTTTACGTTATCCCTGCCAGAGGTGACAGGGGCAAAGAAAAATTCCCTAGTAGGAAGAAACCTTGGGAGGAACCAGACTCAAAGGGGGAGCCCATCCTCCAGGGGCTGGCAGAGGAAACCCAAAATAGCCCAGTCCCAGTTTTGAAGTAAAATCGTGTTTAGTCCAGGTATAAATGCAGAAGGTTCAGCTGATGTCAGGACATAATGTACATGGATGGAGGAACCGCATGCAAGCGGGGGGGGGCAGGCAGACATTATACCAAACTTCGGGCCCTTTGACCTGTTCTCCCGGTCTGCCTGTGACATTTCAGGCTAGCGGCCATCTCAGATCTGTCTGCTTTCAGTTCCTCAGGCTTATTCTTGATCTGACCCTACCAGGAAGCTGTCTGCGGAAATATGGATTTTTTTTAAGCTCCTCAGAATGTAACAGCTACATTGATACGTCGACATACGCAACGAAAGAGGTGATCAAAAATTGAAATAAAAGGGGAACACTCTACTGCTCTGTTAGAGGACTTTCTGCCTTTATCTGGGTCCTTTGTAAGAAAACCACAGTCCTGGTACCCATATAATTCAATGAGCCCAGCCTGGTTAAGTTGGGAGCCGGGGTGTCTCTCTGATGCCTGTCAGGCTCCTGCCTGCAACCTCCGCACCTCCCTGTCAGGGAACGTTACCAAAATCAAACAACTGCTTGAAGACGACAAGTGCCAAGTCACTCCAAACAGCTCCACAGTCAGCCCGTGGCAGATGGCCTTTGGAATCTGCTATGTGTTTCCAACAGGGTGGGGGCACTGAGGTATTAAACACCAGCAGTAGCCGGGGTTTTATTTTATAAATCTATGTCAGCTGACGTGTGCCTAGAAATTATGGCCCCCCTGACAAATAATCACTCCGGGCCCCCTTGCCCAATTTTACATATAATTCTACTTATGCAAGGGCTCCTGTGAAGTTCTGGAGCCCCAGAATCTGTCAGGGTATCCATGCCCATACCACGCCCCTGTATGTCAGTCCAAGCTGTGAGCCATCGAGGAACACCGTGCCCAGATAGGGTGACCATCTCGGATACCAAGCCGCCTGTCCTGTTTGAATGAGCAGCTGACTAACGGATTTATCTTTCAAAGTTGAGACTCTCAGAGGGCAACCAAGTGCCTCCGAGGCAACAGTCAGTGAAGCTGGACAGCACAAGCTAACAAACTGAACACTAAATCAGGGCCAACTCCTCAGGGGCTTCTCTTGAGACGATTGTGTGTAGGGGAAACTCACTCTTTCCATTAAAGGCAGGACCTCTGAACCAGTCTGGGACATTAACCTAAAGCCTTTTGACCCATAAAGTTCACCCTTACATGACTGGAAAATTTATCTCACATTCCCCGAATAGCTGTCAACCAAGCATATTCTGAACACATATACACGAATCAAACAAAGTTACGAAATCGCATTTCGCAAAAAGTTTTTTTTTTTAATTTAAACACTATGGGCACTGACAGTTCTTCTGCAAAGGCAAGTCATGTACTTGAAATTGATCCAAACATGGTGTCTACAGGGGAGGGTAACCCTGCCTGTCGAACAATTACGCCTCAGTTCTGAGTGGGCCTATATTCCATTCTTGGCCGGATCAGCGATACAAGCCCCCCCAGCTCCCCTCAGGCGAATGAACACAGTGCAGAGTAGCATCGCTCCGTGTGACGGAAGTATTATAACCGCGTTTGAAAAAGACAGGCTTTGCTAAAAATAAAAAGCCTAGATGATCAGACCATCTAAAGGACATTTTATTTGATATGTTAATCCCAACTAAAGTCGGCTCTCCTCCTATGCAGGATTTCTGATGCAATTCACAAATAACCTGTTCAAAGCACCTATCAAGCCAAAAAGTCCGGAACTTTTAGAAACCTTCATCTACCTCCATTAGTTCTCTCATTAATCAGATTACAAGAAAAAATAAAGAAATATTGCAAAAGTAAATGGTATGCAAATGAAATATTGTGAAAACAGAATATTGTGCTACTAAAAATAAAGAACAATCAATTCTGTGCAAATAAATTAAGTGCAATCAGAACAGGAATCACTGACAATTAAGTGACACAGATATTCAGTGATTATTAACGCCGAGCCCAATTCGTGATAAGAAGCCGCTGCCGTTCACCGGGGTCCGCTGAGCGACATCACTGCAGCCACCTACACTCGTGGGCACAGGCGTCCCTCCAGCTGGCCTCCTCATGAGTTTGACAGTCACCGATGGACAGTAAGAGCCGTCCTCGGCGGTCGAGGCGGTGTGCCAGGTGGGCGGTGACTCTGGGGGCGCTCATGAAACTGGAAAGAGGTCTCCGTCGCTATCTCATCCGAGCTGCCGAGGTGGATGCAGTAGGCGGTGATGTTTCAAAAAGGCTGACGTTTCCCTCAGAAGACCAGGAGAAGGTGCTGTGTAATATGAACTGTGAGAATAACATACACTCATTAGTGACCTTTACTGATCAGGACAGCCATTTCATGTATATTTCATAGTATTCAAACAGTCAGGAGCGTAGATCTGTATTAATTACTTTTCCATCTGTATTTTCACTGCATCATCATTGAATTCCATCTTTTTCGGTCTAATTTCTGACACTGACTCTGAGAATGAAGACCTGACAGATCCCCTCTAAAGCTTTCAACTTACAAGTACATTTGAAAATACTTCAGTTGCTAGTGCAGCATTTGAAACGAAACAAGAGTCGTAGCTGAGAGGATTACATGAACATAATCCTTTTAACAACTGATATGAAAGCGAAGCGTGTCAAGTTATAAAAAGTAAAAGACAGTTTTCAATCCAGATTTCGCAACCGTGTCACTTTGTCCTGGCATTATACTGAAGAAATGATGCTATAGTTATCCCTCCTACGTACCCATCTCTAACAAAACAAGAACTGAATCAAGAAAGTATGTCTAAGCACTGGTTTGGCAAGTGAAGGCATCCTAGGTACCACATAAGTCTACAACATTATATGACACCTCAGACGTCGTGTGGATTTGACACAGCGCTGGCTGCTGTTGGCTGATGCGATGTTCCGGGGCGCTGTGTGGGAACGTGTAACAGAGCACGATTCAAGCATCGCCGACACAAAACCACGACGCTGGAGCTGCCTGCTTGTTCAGGCCAAAGAATCCAAGTCTTTAGAACGATGTGGGGAGAAGCCAGCCAAGCTGCTGCTTGCACACAAAGATGCCCAGTTCAACGCCCCAAATACCTTCACGGGGGATGTGGGCGCTGAGTGAATTCACAAGTTCCCCGTTTCAGATTAAACAAGGCAAAGACTCTCTGGCCACACAGAAAAAGCTTTTTGTGCCGGGAATGACACCAAGTCATAAGAAAAATTGTCAGCTTTCAGGAAGGTACATTCAGACTGTCTGTTTATGCCTAATGCAGAGCGTACAGGCCATAATATTCTCAGTAGTACGCAGCATGTCCTGAACGCACAGCTCTGCAGACTTGGTGGGCATGGCATCTCAGTGCGTGGCACTAGGTGTCGCTAAATTGCCCAAGACGTCTCATCTGGGGTGTCCCCAGTCTGCACCCTGTGCCCCCCGGGACAGGTTCCAGGCACACCTAGATCACGCACAGGATGAGCAGTTATGAGAGAAAGATGGACAAATTACAGAACCCGTGACTTCTAATTGTTCTGCTCTCAGCAAATTGTTCCTTCCGCGTCTGTAACACCTTCAGTACCTTCTTCCTTATGTACCTTCATATTGCACCACGATGGAAACAGACCTTGCTCAGCTCTGCCATCTACTGACCCAACCGGAGCCTCTTTACAGACTGAATATTCAGATGTTAAAAAATAAATAAAATCACGACAATACAAATCCTAAGCATAGTGAGATTACATAAGAGTATATTTATATTGAATGTGACTATACTTAGCAAATATTAAATATAGAGTTTACCACTTAAGTGAATGTTGCCGTATATAATGTACTACACTAAAACCCATAACATCATTATGTACTTCTGAACAGTACCAGGTAGGACCCCTTTTGTGTCCAGAATTTATAATAACCCAGTTATTTCTAGGCATGCAGCATGTTGACCATTTACAATTCTACATAACACGCACATTTAGGCAGCTGTTGATAAAGAATGGTACACATGTAAAGTTAAACGTGTAAAGCTAAATGATTTATTCATGACTAAATAAAACCCCTTAATTTACATTATTATAAAGACCAACTTTTAGAGAATTATATGTGGGAGGAACAAGCAAAAACATTGTTTCATTAATATGGCGCCAGGAAAATGTGAAACGGCAATTTGAGCTTAAAAAGAAGGAAGTGTCATAAAACATAATAAGGTTATTTTCAGATCTGATGAAAAAAGATGTTTTTTATTAAATATAGACGTCCACAGTGCTGTGTATGAAACGTTATGCCATTTAAGCCCCACACAGATCACTGTTGTTCTCTGTTCCTTACTATTAATGCTGATGTGTACAACGGGTAAATGTCACACAATTTGTCGAAATAAGGAGGCTGCTGTTCTGACAGGGCCCAAGATATGTGACCAGATTTTCCTCATGTTCCAGTTCCCTTAAAACCACATCTGT